AGCAGTAGCAAAATCGATGCTGATAAGATTGACGCGTGTAGACACTAACTCGCGGACACGATCGGATATAAATTACACACCCGCAATAAAGTATACGGGTATAAAGAGTAACGTTTGCGTAAGCACGTGCGTTATACAAATTTTCGAAGCGTTTGTGAAAATTTTAATCATCGAATTTTGCATGCGGAAAACAACCTTATATACGAGATTCACTGACTGACGAATTAATGGCTTTGCCTATAAATGCGTACTCACACACGCACACACACACACACTCACACACTTACATGTACACGTAGGAGGAACACACGCAAAATTCAGGGCATATCCGCACTGGGATCAAAAGGAAAATGTATACCTAATTACACGAATGAAAGATATTATTACTTGGCTGTGCGCCGCGTACACCCTTTCAATAGAAACATCGATGGACAGTTAATTAGTGGCCAGGCGCGTGTGCGCCCGTTGCAGCGGCGGTGCACCATGGAAAATTCTCGTGCGATCCGCCCCTCGACTCATTAATTAACTAAGGTTTTTGCGCGCGCGCACGCATTAACCATGGCGCCTGATCCGATTAAAAGGTTGCCTCGCTCTCTCGTACACACACTCACATACACACTCGTAACGGGTTCTCCGCATGGCAATTTCCCAAAAAAAAATCTATTCTGCGCGTTGGCGTGTGTGCGTCAAAAGCATTTTAACCATTCAGATAGAAGTTCTATACGCGCTCGGGCTATCATTTTTCGTAGCTAGCCCCACGTATAATGCGCATCTTTTATTTTTCGTACTTTTTATCATCGTCATTTTTGCGAGCTCCTATTACACTGACTCTCATAGCCAGTCGTATTAATATTCAAATCCCAGACTGGGGCCTGGTTGAAAAAAAAAAGAAAAAGAGTAACGTGTATGGAAGAAAAGAAAAGAAAATTTTCGCCATCAGTTAAAAAAAAAAAAAGAAGAGCGAGATGGTATATACAACGCGAGAGAGAGAGAGAGAGCTACGGCAAAGGCAGCTGTTACAGAGCGAACAAAAAACGGCTGCGATGGCGGTGGTTGGAGCAACCGCACCAGCCTCACGAGTAACAACAGTAGCAGCGGCACCACCACCACCACCACCACCACCATCAACAGTGGCACACATATTCATCGCGAAAAAATAAGCGTCGCGCACGGGGCCATAAGTTGAAAGTCGTATAATACGCTCGCGATAGTCGTATAAGGTATAAGTGCATAAGAGAGCGTCACGAACGGGGTGAAAGGGGGAAAGGGGATNGGGGGGGGGGGGGGCTATAGCGGCCGAGTGGGGCAGGAGGAAGAAGAAGCGGCGCGTAAATCAGCGAACAAAGGGAATTTTAATTAATCGCGGCTGGCGCTCGCTCGAGCTGCGTTAGCGCGCGCGTCATAGTGGCGCGGCGTCGCGCGCAAGCTACCACGGCTAAAGTACAAAGACAGCTTGGGACAAAAGGCGAAAGATCCTAACTCTTTTTCGCCCTCTCCGCTTGGCAGAAGCAGAAGCAGAAGCAGAAGCAGAAGCAGAAGCAAACCAGCTCCAGCCGCTCGCTATCAGCCCGACTGTTTTTCTTTCGCGATCGCGCCCCCCGCCGCTTCGGCAGCGAGAAAGCGATCCTTAATGCAACCAATTAATAAGTATTAGAGTTTCTCTTCTATCTCTCTCTCGCTGGTTCTCTTGCTCTCTCTTGCTCTCTTCTCTCTCGCCGACGGAGCAAAATAATGAGATCCGGTCGCGTGAGCGCGCGCCTATATATATACGTGTATACGGAATGATTTTAAGTACGCTTGAAACGTCTAGAAGGCTAGGCGAGGAGCAAGTAGGACAGCAAAGGAGGCAAGGGGATAGCTTTAAAGCTTGACGTACGATCGACTCTTGCGGTCGAAAGTCGCGGCCGTTGCCAGTGATAGAGACAGAGAAAGAGGAGAGAAGCAAGAGAGCGGCCAAGTTATACCGCTGCGGCATTATGCTGCCACTGCAGCCACGGCTGCCTTTCGCTCACTATACTTCACTATACTCCGGCGCAGAGAAGAGAGAGCGATCTTAAGGAAATGGCTTCGGCATAAACGACCGAGGCTTTCATCAAATTGATGCATTTTCTTAGCGCTTTAACGTTTTTACCTTTTTCTTTTTTTCCTTTTCCTCCTCCTTTTTTTTACTTTGTCTTTTTTAAGCTCCCGTTCAATATTTAAATGGATTTGTTGGTAGCTGGGTATTTATTTACATTACGGGGCTTTTATCGTTATGACGGAGGCTACCATTTTGCTTATGTCAGGCGCAAGAGTCGAGCACTCAAGGCGCGCACAAGGGGAGAGTGCGTTAAAATTTATTTCGTTTAATGAAATTGCCATCGAAATGTTTATTGTAAATACTCAAGCACTGAGTGACTTCCCGACAGTCTCACGTTTAAATCTTTTCCAGACTCGAACTTTATTATGCTACTATATACGCAAAGATCATACATTTACCGTATTTACATACGCACTTGCCATCAAAGTTTTCCATGTTTTAAACTACGCCCGACAGCATTTCAGTAGTATAAACAAAACTCGGTCAGACATATATCTGCTTTCTGATGTATCTTTGTAAATGGAATTTTATTCGAATTATCAAAATATGATATGTATAAATTTTGCGCACCTGAATGCAAAACAGAACGAATTCGATCGGCTTAAAATCCGACGCAGTTGCATTTTACAGTAGTTCCGATTAAAATATATCAATTCGACACTACACGGCGTGGATTTAGCAATTATTCATTTCTTTCGAATAATAAACTGACGAACATCTCCTCCCCTCACTTTGTTTGTTATGCTCTTTATATTTTACAATGAACAAAAAAGTGGACATAAAGCAAAAATTTAATAAAAACGGCAATATATAAATTTTTCCTTAAATCTCACGCACATACGCGTACACCGATCCATAAATAAAACGACAAGCGACGCGCGCAGGCACACACACGCAAACGATGGCGCTAAATGAATACGTAGGACGCGCGATTCTTCCCGCCCCTAACAAAAAAAAAAAAAAAAAAAAAAAAAATAAAAACCAACAGCAGCTTTTTGGCGTGAAATCGAATGATATAAGCTCACTATCCCCTTGCCTCTGTCTATATGTGTGCTGCTGTATATAGGATCTATAGAGAGTGTGTCGCGGCGCTTGCTGCACGTACGGAGTACCTATTTCAACACGCCAAAAAAAAAAAAAACGAACGAACGAGCTAGCGGCGCGCATTATCGATTCGCCATATTGTGTGTATATGTGCGGTGCACTCGCGCGCTTACCTATATACAGCTATATACCGCCAGCTATATCCACATGAGCTGCTGCGGAATGAAATACGCGTGGCACGCCGTCGATGTATTATATAAGTTTATACGCGTGTGTGTGTGTGTGTGTGTGTGTGTGTGTGTGTGTGTGTGTGTATAGGTGTGCACACGGGGTATACTTCCATAATAACACCGAAACGCTTGAGTGTGCGAGATCATTAATAACATGGCCTTTAGCCACCTTCATCGTTGCGGACTCGGTGGCCCCTTTTTTTATTTTTTTTTTATTTTACCTGATTGTGGAGCTCGTTCGTATTTATACGTATGGACACTTAAGCGGGCGGTACAAATCAACGAAGCCGCCCGGCGCGCGTATATAAGGCGGAAATTCACATACAATTGTATATAACGTCGCGGGGGTGGTTTGCTTGGTAAAGGACTAAAATCGATTTACTATGGTACGGCGCGCACCGGAGAAAGAGAGCTATATAAATGACACGGAATCTCTTTGCAGCTCGACTATATGTGCCAAAGTGATTCACGACGGATCGTTTTTCTTGACTTTTTACTCTTTCTCTCTCTTTCTCTCTTTCGCAGGGCTTAAAATCTATATATACGTGTGTATGCATGCATTCGATTTCGTCTTACAGGGATGGCAAAGCCAGCCCAAAAATAAAATTTTCAATCCTGTTTTCTGAAACTTCCACTGAATATTCCTCGAAAAGCTCTATGGTGACCTTTAGTTCCATGTACTCCAAGTCCCCTCGGAGCTTTTTGAGAAATATTCAGTAAAAGTTTCAGAAAACAGGATTGAACATTTTATTTTTGAACTCGTTTTCCTATCCCTTTAAAATCCGCCAGAGACGACGGTGAAGAAGTAGATTTTTAGGTGCTTTCCGCATCGGCTCGTGTACCAGTGATTGACGCTCGGCGGTCGTGTGCGCACCCGAAAGCTCACCTCGAAAAATCTCATACCTGACGCGAGCCGTGCGCGCGGCGCCCAGTTATATGCAACAAGGTGTATAAATTTCAATCTAGTGCGTGCATAAATTTTCTTTTCAATTGAGAGGATTATTTAATCAATATACCAATTTTGAAACCGAGCTCTATACCTGATTTACATAGGGTGAACAAAAAAAAAAGGATATTTTCATGCTAGATTGTCGTTGTACGGAGAGAAATTCAATCGTTATCGATTTCTCGGCCCGAAATCAATTTTTAATTGTCAGATATAAAAACGGCTAAATCCACGATATTTGCATTTTCGTTCATGGTAGCGTTCATTTTTGACTATTCATAACTGTTTAGGAAGTAAATTCGATTACAAAGAGTACACGTAGAGAATCGTATTTTACATAAACCAGATATATTGATGATTAAATTGCAAAATTAAACTTAACAAAACATTGTATTTCGTGTATTAGGTGATAGGCTACATTAATAGTAACACTTTTAAACTATCAATAATCGTTTATTATTTTAACAATAGAGTATAAGAATCATTATAATTTTTACAATAGATGAGAATCATTACAACTATAAATCGATTATTTTAACAAAGCAATATGACATAAATTCACAAATTAATAGAATTATCTTTACAATGTACCTACATAGCCTACACAAAGTGAAAAAAAATATTAATTAAGTTTTAATAATCAATAACTTTATTCGTGTTGATTACATGTAATATTTTTAATATTCAAAAACAGCTCAACATTATGTTTACACAGATCGCCTGTTGTTTTTAGGTCAATAATTCTATCGTAAAAGGCACACGCGTCGATGTTTCAAGTACATCAATTAATTAGCTAATTAGCTTTATACCACGAATAAAAGGCACGTATATAGAAGTATACCATAATCCAAGCATTTGAGGGGGAGAGTGGTATCAGCGAATATATCGGGCAATACATTTCATCGTTAATCAAAGTATTTTTCATACGTACAACGTAAAAAGAGAAGCGGCAAAATTAGCATGTTAACATATTTATAGCGGCTTTCGACGCACGATATTAATTATTTCGCTGACATATCGTTTATTCCATTAGATAAAGTTTAACGTTGCTTTAAGAAAGGAATTATCACGGGAATAAAAGGCAGTTTTATTACCTTATTGAATGATATCTCTGGGCAGCGTTCGCGCGCCCCGCCGCCATAAATTAATACGCGCGTCGAGTCGGCAGCTATGCTATATAAACTCCATATATATTCGCCTCGAGGAGGAGGTAGTACGGCTGTCTTATCGTCACACAATAAAGATACTTTCATATCCGCATTATAAAAGACGCAGTGGCCGAGATACGGGGCCGCGCGCGGCATAGATGTATATACGACAATGCGTATGTATTGCGTTATTATACATATAGCGACTCGTCGTAAAGTGCGCCTCGCATCTCGCGCGAACCTCGCACGAAGACGACGACGACGACTTTCTTCTTTGGCCGGCACCGTAAAAGACAAGAATATGCGGCGCAATAAGTATATGGAGTGTAAATGTCTGCCAGATAATGCCCGGGAGAGAACGAGAGAGAGAGAGAGAGAGAGAGAGAGCGAGAGAGCAGAACCGAGTATGTCGCGGCTCTTACTGCTGCGGCTATATATAATATACGCGAGTCGCAACGCGAGAAGCGACTTGTATGCGCGACGTGTACTATACTCCCGCAGCATCTTGGCTAGTGCCTTTGAGATTGCGCGTCTTTTTTAGACTCTCTCGGTATAGGGCGTATAGGGCGCGGTGTAGGAAGCAAAAAAAAAAGAAGAGAGGAGATGTCTGGATACTATTGCTTCTGCCGTTACTCGTTACGATGTTTGCCTCGAGTATTTTCCTCGTAATAATCTATTCTGAATAGACCCACGTACATAATATGAGCGAGCGAGTTAGTTACGCCGCAAGCTTCGTAAAAGCGTCTGATCGTATACTTCGTGTATTCATTATATGCCATATTACAAGTGCTCGAGTGTATGTGCAGCCCAAAATTTTTGTAGAAACGTCTGCTTCATCCTCTTGACCAAGTGATATATACGTATTATTATTTTTTCGTCGACGATTGCGATACACGAGAGTCACTCGCTGCTACTGCCCGTGCCAGTTGAAAGACCGCCTTCGATATTTTTCTCTCTGAGCTCGCCTCTGAAAAATCCCATCAAAATTTTATATTTCTCGTGGAAAGAAAAATCATACAGTGCATTCGTGGGACTCGTCAACTTTCCTGGGAAATGTGGACGATTTTAAACTCAAAAACTCGCTTCGTCGATTTATATGCCATTTAATGAAAAATGCAATGCGATTAGTATGAATTTTATTTATTATACCGCGAAGAAAAACTGGGCACGGGGCCAACGCTAATCTATAAGTGCAATAAACATGTACTTTGAGTACTGTTTGTACTACTGTGCCTGATTCGGGGGAAAAAAAACTTTCATCGTTAAAAAATCCCAACGAGTTGCTGCTGCTGCTGCTACTGCTGTGCTCTTCGAAATTCAAAATAACAAATTGTGCGCTTTGCTCGAGCTAGAAGATGCGTGTATAGAAACAGCTAAAAAAATGCAAAACTACTTGGGTAGTAGCGCAAAGCATTTCGGAATTCAGAGCCTTTAGCTCTGGGGAGTGAGAAAGAGGGTAAAAAACTTTCGCTGCGCTGCGGTGTAGCCGAATCCTCGAAAAACTTCAAAGGAAATCGCCGAGACCTGCTGCTGTTGCCGCTGCTGCTGCTGCTTCTGCTTCTGCTGCTTGCCGTGAGGCTGCTGCTTTTCTCTGTAGTAAGGTAGAAAAAAGCAAAAAAAGGCCAATCCCAACTTCGCCAAACAATAATAAATTACTTCCCGGAAATTCCAAGCGACCGAAAGTTAGTAAAAAAAAGATACGCCTGAGGAGCGCGAGAAAGAGAGAGAGAGAGAGAGCGAGGGTAAAGGAGACGGGTATAAAAAGAAGAAGGAGGGGGAGGGAGGAGGGCAAAGAGGAGCTGTGTGCTGCGCTGCACTGGCTAGAAAAGATAGAGCTCCTTACCTTTTTTCGTCAAATTGCGTCTGCCTCCGAGCGAAAAAAGTTCGATATTGCCTCCTAGCATGCTGCTACTGCTCCTGCAGCACGGACCACTTGCCGCTACTGCTCTTCTGAAGATTAGCGGCGCTGCTGCTGCTACTGCTGCCACTGCTGCCGGTCGTGCTCGCGTCTTCGTGCCGGGGCTTGCGTTGATGATCCGAATCCTCCTTGTTCAACAACACGAGCGGCGAACTTGACACGAGCCGACGCATAAAGCCCGACGCACGCCTAGAGGAGTCCGACGTTATCGTCGTCATCGTCGTCGTCGTCGTCGTTTCTTCAAAGAAAGGCCAGCGTAAATATTCCAGCATATCGTTTATACATTTAAAGACGGGTTATTTTTGTGCCCGAGCGATAGAGCAAATTGATTCAGCGAACGAATCCCATCGAAAATTCTCAAAGTACACTCGCTTGAAAAATCAAGTGGTAAATTCTCGGTTCAGTCAGACATAAGGAATCTCATTTTGCGTGTATGGCCCCGACGAGAGCAGCCCGCGTAATTTTTTGCACAAAGTACGTGGGTAAAAAGGGAAAAATCGATGCGCCGGGTTCGGGTTTTTTGGCCCTCTCGGCGATATTGCCACACACACACACGCACACGTACACATACACACGAGCTTTACATATTACCTTGACTGCCAGTGGTTTCGGGCATTGGCGATTTCCAATCATCCTCGTATCGGGCCACGGCCCCCGTCTGATTCTCGCCGGCAACACTCGTAATGTTATCAGGCAACATAGTCGTAGTAGTGGCGTTACTATCGAGTCCAATCATCGTCGATGTCTCGGCCAAAGCCATCGTCGCCGTCGTCGTCGTTTCCCCCATATTCCTTTCTTCGGTCAAAATTTCTTGGGTGAGATTTTCCTCTTTCTTCGATCGCGCGGAAAACCCATCGATACTCCAATCTTCGTTCAAGACGTTGAGCAAGCTGCTGGCGTCGTTGCTGCTGCTGCTGCTGCTACTCGTGCTCACTAATTCCTGCTCTGCTTCCGGCGCGTTAATCTCGCTGTCGGGACGAGTATTGTTACGACGTTGTAATCGGGAGAGAAGATTTTTGAGACTCGACTCGGTCGTGTCACTGCTCGTCTTTGCTTCGGTAACGTCGTTTACGTTATCGTCGCTTTTCGCCTCGTCGTTCGGAAATGAAAGGTTGAAAAAATATTCACTCGATGGATCCTCGTCGTTTTCCACTTGATCCTTGAAAAATAAGGCGATGAAATTTAAATGTTGTTATCCATGCATTTTTGTCACTTTATTTTACTTTACTAATCGTTTAGTCAGTTTGTCGCACTTTAACATTAACAGCAGCCTCGATAGAAAGTCAAAAAGTCATCAAATGTAATCTCAATTCTCTGCTCTAATTTTAATTATCGATGTACCCTATTATTTCGACAGACGTCTGACTCATTCAATTTTTATATTTAGCCTTGCTGCAGGAAGCTTGAATAAATAATTCATCCTCGATTAATAAAACCACTCTTGTTATTATCCCAAATAACAAAAAGATGTTCCAAAAAGCACAAATTTTTGGTTATTTACAATTAATTATCGCTTATTAACACTAGAGAAATTAACATTTTAATAAAAAGTTTCTACCATTCATTTTTCTCAACGAAAAAGTAATCAAGGTCACTCGCTTTGAACGATTGAAACGATTCAAAACTATTAATATTCCAGTCACTCGAAATATTGATCTACATGAATAGGTGCGCTGCGAGGTGCCGTGTGCAAAGTTTACAGTTGACTTATAACCCTGATTTATAATATATTTATGTACATTAATAATTACCATATTCGATTTATTGCCACGCAGACTACTATTAAACGTCAATGTCGATATTTGCAGAGGCTCGTCGTACTGCACCGATTCGTTGGTGTACAAAGTCGTCGTTGCGGCGACTGACTCCTCCTCCTCCTCCTCTTCGGTGCTCGTCTCAATTCTATAATTGTCCAGTTGAAAAAATGGATTATTCATCATCGGGAAATGATCAGATGCTCGAGTGTACAGCGTAACATAATCGCTCAAAAACACTCGAGGCGTCTCAGGAGTAAGATTAAGCATCCGGAATTTTTGAGACACGAGTCGAAGGCGCTCATTCTTATATCTTCTAGATACACGCCTCGCGCGTAATGCACTACAGTCACGAATATAGATATTCTTGAGAGAAAGGGAGAGAGCAGCCGCTGCCGTGCGAGAAGTCGCGATGTAAAAATAAAAAGAGTCTCGATCGCGAGCATATTGGCTGTTGAATTTTTCACCGGCAGTATTACGCAGTTTTTTGCACGCGCATAGGTACGTACGCCTGCCGATATGTGCTCGGTAATAATACTCGAGCTCTCGCTGCTGCTCTCGTTTGCTTCGGCTTCATCGCTCTTCTCTTGTCATGCATATATCGCTACTACGAGAGAGAGAGAGAGAGACGTACAATGTATACGTTAAGTCCGACCTGCTTCGCGTTACGCCATGATTTCAATAGTGATATAGCTAGGGCGGCGGCGGCAAGCAAGCAAGGATACGAGCCGACGAGCTATATTACACGCGATCTATACATACATATGAGATACACTTTCTTTCGATTTAGCTTCGGTGAATTGCTTTTTTATAAGGCGCCCTTGCGCGCGCGCCTTCTGCACCGAGCGGTACTATAACTGCCTTGCAAGAGAGAGAGAGAGAGAGAGAACGTGCGAGTAGTCTCCTCTACATCCGCTATATATGTATGAGTTAAACATAAATGTTTTACAAGTGGCGCCGCAGGCGTAGGAAAAATTTTTCTCTTGTTTTCTTAGAAAGAATTTTCAACTACGTTAAAAAATCGATCGATGCCTGCCTCTCTCTTGTTCATTCGCTTGCTTCCATCGATATATTACCTCGAGAGTGTGTACACGGCCGCGCGCCGATGTAGCCCCTCGCCCCCCNCCCCCCCCCCCCCCCCCCCCGCGATACGCATGCGATGCACACGCACACACTTGCACTCCGCTATCTACGGTCGTGTATGCACTCTTTGATTTTTTGTTATTTTTTTTCTTCGCCGCTGCTGCTGCTGATGCTACTGCATATTTTGTATTTTGTATCGAAATTTTTCTGTTTCTTCATTCTGTTCGCGATGATAACGATCGGAAATAGAAAGTTAATTGAACCCTTAATATAGAGCTCCCAACTACTCGCACGCGTGTATACAACTAGTGCAGTAGCCCGCGAAACGAAGGTATTTTTTCATTTCTACCGACTGACTCATTAAGCTAGATTCGTGGAATTGCTGGTACGCACGTTTTAACAAATTATTCGCGAAAATTGTATAGCTGCAACAAGTTGTCGAGCAAAAGGCGCGATAGAATTGATCTCGAACCGTATGATGCGATGATTGCTTTGAATAGATTGGACAAAATTTACATCGCTTCGCTTGATTATATATGCTGAGCTTTCTTTTTTCATTTCATTAATAGAGCTATGGCAGCAATTTTTGTCCCCAACTACTATTTAAAACTGCATTTTGATTAACCTTCTTGTTAACATTCATCCGATTATCGAGGAATCAGTGTCAATCAAGAGATATCGGCAAAAAAAATTGATCAGTAATTTTTCATGAATCTAGCTCAATGAGAAAAATATTTTGTACGAAATATTTTCTAATATGAGTACAAACAATGATAAAAAAGAATCATAACTAACGTGTAAATGTCGGTGAAATTGTCAAAGGCATCAGGGGTGGTCTGAGATCGATCTCGATCGGCTGCTAAATTCTGGAATGCCTTAATGACGAGCCGCACGAGCCTCAGCAGATGTTGCTCGGTCTGATGCCGGTCCTCCGACGTTCCCTCCGGCTGGCGCAGTTCTTGCAGCAACAGCATCAACCTCGACCAGTCGGTTTCTAAGCTGCCGAACGGCACCTCGACTACTTTTTCTCCGTCCTCCTCTTCGGGCCAAGTCGTCGCTTCCAGCGTGACATTTTTACTTGGCCTCAAATGGATGTCAAAGCTGGTCATGTTGTCGTCGTCGTCTTCGTTGAGCATGACTGCATCGCTACCAGCAGCAGCACCGGCGACGGCGGCAACGACGTCACTTAGCTCGCTAAAGCAGCAGTTCAGCGATGCTGAAAAAGCAATCGCTGCAGCTCACCGGCAACTTCCCAGACGGGATTTTTTTTCTTCCTCTCGTATACACAGTATACGTGTACACACACACACACAAACGCACGGCGCGAGCCATATGAAAAAAAGTACACACAGTGCATGTAGCACGCATGGCTTCGATCGTCGAAATTGAAAAGATTGACCGAATGTCATTTTCAGCTCGAGCGCGTAGCCCGCTATACGTGCAGCTCTAGCTTCGATGGCCTAGTTATGGTTAAATAGAATCATGCATATTTGCGTGCACGTGTGTGGGTGTATGTACGAGTGCGGCTCGCAAAAAAAAAAATTCGTGAAAATGCACACGATGCCACGTGGAATATGTGCGCCACTATGCCAAAACTTGTTTGATGTTCCGATTCGTTGATTGAATATTTTATCATGAATAAATTTATATGGAAAGAAGATTTAAAAACTTCCGAATGATGTATATATAGCTGAGAGTGCCGATGCACCAATTCCTGCAGTAACTATTTAAAAACTCGTCTCGCTTAATCTTATTAAAGAACTCGATTTCTGTCGCGATGCAAAATTTCAGCAAGAAAAAAAGTATTTAACGAAAGGGTGTGCAAAAATGTATAAGTTGCATGGGCGCGAGTCTTACGCGACGCATCGACGGTTGTACGAGTAGAGCAGCGTGGGTTTTTGCACTCGAAGAAGTAGTCGAAGTATGCAAAGTGTAGCTACTATAACGTAGACGACGGTCGGACGCGTCGCAGTAGTATACTATACGTATATATAGGCACATAATATAATAAAGGGAGGCTTACCAGTGTGCGTTGTCGAGGCGTCGAGTGGCATCAGCAACAGCAGTGATAGTAGCAGCGTCGACGTAAGGACAGACACGGCTGCTGAGCTTCGCAACATGACTGGCACCGCTGACGAGAGATTAGATTCACTCTCTCGCTCGCTCGCTCGCTCTCAGGGCTATGTTATTATTGTGATGCGCGACTTGCAGGCAGGGCACTTTGGTGTTTGTATATGCGCCGTAAATATCCGCCGCTTAGTCCATGTATAGATATACGATATATTGTATAACGTACGGTATACGATGTATTAATGTGGTCGCAGGTTGATGCTCCTGATAGTGCACACAGACGGCTTAAATATCGATTAATTCCTTCATCCTGATGAATCTGTGGAAAATAAATATCCTTCGTTGTTGCTGTTGCTGTTGTTTTTTTGTGCATCCGGTTCGGTAATTATCCGCATTGATTTACTCGGGCTTGAGCTTTTCATTTCTTAGATACAATCAGGTAAAAAATAAAAATTCTCCTCCCCCCCGAATGTATACAGATATATCGCGAAGCTGCGCACTTATTTAGGGCATGGTTTTATCGGATGCAAATATCCGGTGCGCGATGAACGCGCCATTATATATGTATGCCTGTGTATATGTATAATATACACACCGAAGGCTGCAACAACAATATAGCCGCTGCACGACGAAGCAACGGCGCAGCAATGAAACTTTATAGCTCCAGCTCGATTTATTTCTCGGGCGGGTTTTGCAGCTTCTTCGTTCTTTTTCTCTTCTTCTTCTTTCTTCCTTCTCCCGCTGCTTCTTCTCCCTATCGTATATGCGCTTGGGCGTTTTCGCATGTCGCGCCGCTCCGCTCGCGGAAGAATCTGGTGCAATGCGCGCGATCGCAAAATTGAATTAAGAACTAAGAGCGGAAAAGTTCCGGCAGATTGGACACACACATACACATACACACCGACTTGCACGCTTTACACGCACACAGAGAAAGAAAGAGAGTGAGAGAGTGAGAGAGAGAGAGAGAGATGGAGAGCTGGAAAGCTGCTGTTTCCGTCGCTCCTGCTGTCTGTATGGCCAAGTTTGCCCAAGTTTTTTTTGTCGTCGTCGTCGTAAATGCTGCAGGGATATATCGCTTTGTTCGCTTTATCATATTGATCGACCGTTTTCCATTCAATCATTTCATACTTTTATTCAGATATACTTCCAATAATAATGCAATCGTCCGCGTTGCGCAAACTCGGCTGACTATACAGAAGTTCTCGATGCCGATACGATATATACACTGCAGCAGACTGCAAAGGAGCCTTCGCACCTCGTAATCATTATAATATAATTATACATTTATGCAAGCGTGCGCATCGCTCGACGCTCACATTTATGCTTTACTAGGACATGTACTCGCGCGCGAAGCGATTTAAAAGCTATATAGCGTAACTGCGAGTCGTGTGTGTGTGTGTGTGTGTGTGTGTGTGTGTGTCGAGTCGAACTTTGTTGCACTCAAAGCGAACGGCGGCGGCGACTTTCATATCAAAGACAATCGCGCCGATCGCTCGATGTGTATACATTCGCGCGTTCGAGAGTTGAACTCGTATCGGGGCTAAAATACGAAAAAAGTTTCATCGATGCCCCGCAACAAGTACTACACATACGCGAGCGAGTTGGCGTGCATATGCGCGCCGCGGATCGTTGATCAAATGTCGCCGACTAAACTCGAGCATTTGCATAAATACGACGACGACGACGACGACGACGCTCTCTCGCAACTATCCTCGTTTTAATGTAAAACGTTGAGTGCTTTGTCATTTTAGCGTACTTACAGCGTGCATTAAAATAATGTAATATATGTTGACGCATTATTACATGCATAACAAAGTATAATGGCACGACACTTATACTTGCGCGTATATGTAGCAATTACAAGAGTCGAACAATGGCTAATTTTACATTTTATCATAGATATCAATTAACAAAATAATTCTGAGGAAATGTTTAAATTGGCCTGTCTAGCTCTCTTTTCCCCTGTCTCTCTCACTCTCTGAGCACTTGGGCTTAATAGTGTAGTTTGTCATTAACTTGAGTCTGTGTACGCACACACGCATGCTACATAATAAATGAGCCAGTTACACAGACGCGGCGTACTTGATGTATGCAAGCTTCATACGCGAACATGCCGACATATTATGAATGTACAATGTATACGTAATACATACATGCGGCAACTAAGCTAAGTGAATAAATTCATGGCCCTTATGATACGATGCGCGAGGGTGGAAAAAAAAACCCTGACAAAATGCTAGGCGATGTGCGTATGAAAAATGCAGAATCTTGGGTATACAAATCAGCGAACGTCGATCGATGGTCGAACGAACGATGATCCTTGCATATTTCACGAGCGGCTCTGGGGCAGTAGCGATCGCGAATATAAACAAACGAGAAGCGGCGATGCGAAAAATTTTCCAAATCCATACAATGTGGTCCATGCGATGCGATCCCAGAGCAGAGCTCGCGCGTGTAATGATCGACAAAAAAGGCGCGTGTGCACGAAAAAAAAGCAAGCAAGCGAGTGAGCGCGAGTAAACGAATCGTCCGGAGTCGACTCGTGTTGATTTGTACTCGCTCTCTCGTCCTCCGTGCACCATAAAGTTCGCATATATATGCATATACTTGAACGCGCTTAGTACATAAAAAAAAACTGACCCGACGCACACAGCTGCACCACCAGCACACACATGCAGCATACGTACACGCGCGTGCACAAAGTACGCTCACGAGCCATCCTCTTTTTTTCTCTGGTCCCTCGCTGCTGCTGCTCGCTGGATGAGTTTGTTTGTGTATCTCAAAGCGCGCGAGCCTCTGAACATGACATGTCGATTTTTCAGAATAACGTTTTTTGGCACATTTTCAGGATACCGCTCAAAACCCGCGAATCTCACGGGTTACAAATACATATACCTTTGGGCTGCGCAATACTTTGCCCCGTATTCTATGACTGCACGCCTTGCCAGAGACCGAGAGAGTATGAGAGCGCGTGGATGTATCTACGATGTATAGCACAATATGTCTTTCACAGATGTCAATTCAAAGAGCTCGGAGTTTTGACTCTACTTCGGTACTTTTATTCAAACTCTATGGTTTTTCGATGGATTTGCGAAATTGGAATGAAAGTCATCACCGGTCGGGACTTGTCATACTAATCTAAATTGAATTCATGTAATACATAATGAGTCAAGTTTAATCGCAATCCCAACGATAGCCCTTTACCGAAGTTACTTCATTTACAACGTTAAATTAAAGTAAAGCTCAGCAATGTTCTAAAAAAAAACAAAAAAGAAGAGCAGAAAGTGCAATCGATGCAAACTCAATTATTTGCTAAAAATTACGTAAAATGGAAAATACGCACGTGTTTACATGGCGCACTTACTAATTGAGTTGCGTTGCCTTATCACGCAGTCATGTAGCGAATTTGAGAGAAATACTCCAATACACTTTGGCTATATGAATAAATTAAATCGCGCGCACACACTAAACTTCCTTGACTGCACTTGTAAAAAAGGATCATTAAATTTTCAATGAGCGCAAATACTATAAAATTAACATTCTAATTTATGCAAAACCAGACTGTAACGAGGCTTCGCGAATAGTAAACACATGCCTTGTGATGCAACCGTATTTTAACATTGCATTCACCCACAGTCATCGATTATCAAACTTTCACAATGCAAGCGTAGAGCAGAGACGTTGTCATGGCGACTATTTTGAAATGCTTATCATTATTATATTTATAATGTTCGATCTGCTTCTGGGTAGCGCAACTTTTTGGCCCGACGTTTATAATTTACTCAAAGCAAGCCCGCGTTCAATTAATTAGAAAGTTTTTTTTGTAAAACTCAAATCATTTTTCATTGTATTTTCAAGTATCAAAACTAATAATTTTTAATGAATCGTCACAAACTAAAAGTGGCAGTTATAAAATGAAAACGAATGTTCTTTAATTTAAAAATAATTCTTCAATTGATCATTTCGTACAACTAATTAACAAAATAATAATTTAAATTATTAATTTTCAAACTAGCTGTATTAAAACTAACACAGTGTTTGATAAAAGATTATTTTTTAAAGTAACGTCAACTGAACTTAATAAGCGTTCGTAATTATTACATAAATTTATATATGTTAAGTAAAACTAATTTTGAATAAATTTTATTTTTCATTCAGTTCAAAACCGATATTATTAACTTTTTTTAAGCAGCAGCAATCTTTTCATTTTAATGAGAACAGGTACAATAAACTATAAAGTATGAATGCATAACACTGCATAAGCACTGCAAAATTTTTATTTTTATGGCTTTAATAAATAGTACTCAATGCTTTAAAATTAAAATATTGATAGTGACCTTTTTTAAACAAATATGCACGTATATGAAACTTTGGTGCGCGATCTACCATATTGTAACATCGATGTCCCATGTTTTATATAACACTAAAATTTGTATACTTTTGGTTTTTTTTTATATTATAATATACCTATATCGTGGTAATATGTATACACAAATATAATCATCTTTTGATGTTTATACAAAAAATTATTATTTTACAGTTACATGAAATAACTTATGTTTATAGATGATAACATACAATTATGATAAGAAAGATTTCTTCCTATCCTTTGGCATTTTTTCACATTAATTGATTTTAAACTTTAAAAATGTAAATATTTTTAATTATTCTTCAATGATTAATTTTTTTCAATTCGTGAACCAAGATTCAACGTCTATAAATTTAACTTTTTGCCGTAAATTTTTTTTTTTTTATCGGTCAGATATTATAGCCTATTTAGTAAATATTTACAAGTAAAAATTTTGACTGCACAGTGTTACTTGAAATTGAATAGATAGTGAATAAAATTTTTTCTTACGTTATTACTAAAACGAACTAATAGATCATTTGTGTACAAATACTAGACTATTTTCAAGAAATAAAGTAGTTCGAATTTAGAAAATGTGTAAGCGCAAAGTAAGTTGATTCACTTATATCTCACTTTACTTTTTATTTGTTCACGCATATATATAAAAATTTCTAATTGATAATCTTCTAAAGGAAACATGATTTTTTCACAAAAAATGCTAATATGGCAACGATTCTGTCTATTTTCTATGGAAATTATTCAAAATAACATTTCAAAAAAGTGTGAAACATGATGATCGGTCTAAATAAGAGAATAGACCTAGGTATGCATGTGTTGCACTTGAAACAAAAGAAAAAAAGTGTATAATAGAATTGGAAATCCTAGTAATCTAGTCATCATCATATTGAGTAATATTTGATAATCTCTTATAAAATATATGGTAAAGTTATAATTCTTGAATTAGTATGATTTTAAATATTCCCAACAAATTGAAAAATATAACAATGTTAGATATAGAACTGTCTAACATGAAAATGTAAAATAAGTTTTACTTTCCTACATATTTAATATCAATATGATCATACATAATTCTACGAAAAATCTATAAAATTAATGACGGTGAACCAAAATTTCGGTGAGGTGAACAAAACTAAGTAAAAAAATATAATATCTTAAATTTTCGCATTAAGATATATTAATACCATTACGATGTTACTTACGATTAATTTTTACATTCATGTTAAAAAGTGAGCATAAATCATTTTTATATTAAGATCTTCAAATGCTAATAGCGTTTCTAGATATAATAAAACATGATTAATTAATTCATTTACGCTCATTTATTTTTCTATAATTCATTGTGTCATCATCGTAGATTATTTTGTGCGTATATTACGCACTTTATGAATATCACAGTTTAACAATGAAGCCACTTACAATTCCAATACATTAACTCCTTATGAATGAACGGAAAAAATTATGTTTATAATTAATCAAAGCCTATTACAATGTAGAAATACAAGCGGCTCGTGTTTCATACATGTAACGTTGATAAAATTGAGTAACGTTGTATTACAATAATAATTTATTTCACCAAATCAAAAATTTTTAGGTAAATAAAATTTGAACATTAGTAAAAAATAATTCCCACAATTTTTCAATCAACCAATTTGGCAATCATAACGAAAATAAACACGCAATAAATAAAATGCTAATTTCAAGTAAAAAGAGAAGACTTGTAATCAGTTGAAAGAGATACCGACGTGAAACAAAAATAAAAATAACGATAATGTGAAAAAACTTAACTTTCTAGAGACTCCTTTGAAAGGTATTAATAACTCAAGATTGCTAAAGATCTTTTCACATAATATTGTCACGTGAAATATTCGTTATGTTTGCTTTTAGCTTAATATGATAAAATTTATGCAATTTGAGATATAAAATAACATTTTTAGCATTTTTGCCAACATAATAAATATAAGAACTACATTTTCCATTTGTATATAAAAGCAAATAAAGTACACAAATATTAATAAATATCGATGAAAATTTGATTAGGTCAACACCTAGTAATATTTTCATAAATTTAGCAATTTGAAAATTTTGGTTCTTTTTCGTGATAGAATCTAATTATTATAGCGTTAAGTGGACACTCCTTAAACGTTGTGATATTAATTGATAATGAGCATTGATAGTTAATAAGTGAGTCAACAATTTTAATAAGCCATAAATTCATATTTTTCCATCTTTTTTGATTTTCTACTTTAATGATCAAAAATGAAAAATTGTTATAATTCAATTTAAAATAAACACAATTCAAATGAACTAGGACACTTGAGAGTTTTCTTATCTTAGATTAATAAAATAATTATCAACGTGAAATTTACAAAAGTGATATGTAACTCATGAAGATAAAAATGTTGAAAATGAATAATATCATTAAAATTTTCGCGTATAATTAACACAGTTTTTGGAGTGACCAACCAGGCTTATATGTCTCTATGGCAAACGTAACAATGGCTTATTAAACTAACACTAGTGCACAATTCTTGGAAAAAATTATCTTTATAATATTATAGTTTATTTGTAGAGTGCTTTTTACTACTCACTAGATAGCCTTTAATATTTTGAGAAGAAATTGATTAAAAATTTCATCTCTTAAATATTTACTTCAACGATGTAATATGGTTTGCATACACAAAAAGATGTGAATGAGCATAAAAATATTTTATATATTTTATACATATTTTTACAGAGAACAGAAAAATGGTTCAGCTGTACTTTACTTTATATCTCATTTGAATAATTGCACTAGAAATCTGGACCTTTCTGCGTACAAAACGCGCAATATATAAATTTTTCCCATTCTCTCAATTTTTTACAATCTTCCTTTCATTCTCTTACACACTTTTATACAATGAATATCTACACGTACTAATCCGCATATCAACGGTTGAAACGTTAACCAATTTATCTCTCTTTTGGTCAGAGTAAAGGGCTCATCACTTTTCGTAATCATTATTATTATTTGTTTTTTTTCACACGTTAAAATTACAACAGAATAGTTTGCTCCTTAACCACTGATACATTTCAATTATCATTATCTTTTGCTCTCTTCCATTGTGTATCTCAGTTTACAGCTAGATAAGCGCGAGTCAAAACGGATCCGCGTTAACTCGTACAAGGCATTACTGACATATAATATATGTGTGTGTGTGTGTGTGTGTTTGTTTGTTGCAATAGTATACATAACAGTGTAGTTGGATTAATTAGTTTAGATCACATTTGTACAACGTATAATGAAGGCTTGCATCGGCTCAACGATATAGGCTGTAAAATGAGAAGATCGAGTGAGAAGAAGGCTCGTTCGCGGGCGCGTCGTCGAAATTAGTCGTCGTGGTCACGTGCTTGCTTGCTGCTGCTCATCGGTAACTGGCCGCCTCGAGCATCTCTACGAAGAGTTTGTTCATCGGCACCTTGCCGGTGCGATAGACACTGGACCAGAATTTGCGCACGATGCCGTCGGTCTGGCGCAGGCCCGGCAACACTAGGAACATGTGCTGGCTGGCGCGCAGCGCCTGGCCGGGCCGCACCGCGCCCACGCAGTCCGACAGCGACATGAGGATGGAGTCACGGAAGCGTTGCAGAGCCTGTGGCTCGTCGAGTTTTGCGTCGCTGTTGGCCAGTATCAGGGCCTTGAGCACGTAAAACTCCTCGCGAGACAGGCTGAGCCGTTGCACCCTGTCGACCATCTGCATACACTGGGGACGATACAAGAGTTACGTTCAACGATTGCACTGACTTCGAGGTAAGATTCTTTCTTTTTTTGTCCATAGTATCAACACCAGGCATGCCAATAATTTGAAATACTTACGTGAGAGTACAACTCCAAGCAATGACACTCGCGAGCCAATCTCTCGTCCAGGGTGAAATCTTGAGCGAACCTTAATTTTCCAGTGTTGGGCATGCTTCGCCAAGCCAAACTGAAAGTGAGTATCTCGGCCCAAGTGCTTTGCAAGAGTCGCATCTGATCGTTCAGAGGTAAATTACTGAATCCAGGTATTTGTTTGGCCCAGCCTGACATTAAAATAACAATAATTTTTCGATCGTACTAATAGTGATTTTAATTTGAACACTGAATTATTGGTTAAAAATGTACTTACCAATAATACCAACGAGCTCCCTGTCGTAGAGATCCGATAGTTGACCGAGAAACCGCTGATCGGGATCCATGGTGTGTGATAGATTCGATACTTGAAGCATGTCAGGTTCGCAAGCAATCAATGCCTCGACCATTTTATTATCTGTAAATATATCGTTATTTGCTTTTGATGCTTTGATAATAGCTCGAGCTTAATTGCGTTGAATTGTTTGTTTTTATGATACAAGTACAACATAAAATTTTGATCAACGTTCCGCTGTTAACAGCGCGAAATTGTCTACCCATGAAATCAACGCACACTTGCTCTATCTACACAAGACAAGATGAATCTAAAGCTTACGAATGAAAATTTAACACATTGAGCAACAACTACAAACACACATACAGCTCACTTACTCATTGATTCTGCGTAGCCAGATGATCCTAAGTTAGCTTGAAACATTAAAGCAAAAAAAAATTTCTGATAAAACGGTTCATGAATGACTAGATATTAGTAAACGAATATGTTAAAAACGAGGAATAGTACCGCTTTCTAAACTATTTTTAAATCCAGTTGGTATCCGTCAATGTCGATATTTATATTAAAAACTTTACAGTCATAAGTAAAAACACAAAAAAAGGAATGTTAATTGTTTCAATAATCAATTTTTTAACTAATGATGCAGGTGTAAAAAAATGCTTCAAAATATTTAGCATTACTATGTCAAGCTATAAAACTGATTAATAGGTATTAGAAAAAAAATTTCAAAATTCTGCAGTTTTTTTTATCACTGAAGTAGCAAGAATTAGAGTTAAAAAAAATATCGAGGCACGCGTAGAAAATAAATAAAGTGCAATGAATTACCTTCGAGCGTGATACTTTTGCCAGGCACATAAGGATCGGTGCTGCGCCGATACTTTTGACGTCCGCCCCGTACTCGATCGAGCCTGACGCCTTCTTTGAGCATACCTTGACGTAGACACTTTTGAAAACGACACGCTTGGCAAGCCTTGCGCCGTCGCTTGTTTATTTCGCATTCGCCGCTGGCCGGGCACGTGTACTCGATGTTACCTGTGAAGTTACTCGCTACTTTACCATTATATTGGCAGCTCTTTGCCAGATATACAACTGAATGTGTATACACTGACGTTATTTCACAATGCATGCGGACGGATTATTATGCACGGTCGGTTGTTATGGAGTTGAAAATGAAATCGACTTGACACGTCGCTCGCATTCGTAGCCAAAAAACTTCAACAAATTTGCGGGGTAAAAAAACAATGGCTCTCAGTCATCGATTTTTTTAGCTCTCGAGTACGTATTTTACATGCGTTCATTGACCGGTATAACTAAAAAAAACCGGGTTAAATCCCAAACTACGAGTCACTACTTTTTAAATCTCAAAAATACGCGTAAGATATTTGTCAGATAAATAAAACATGATTTTGCCTTCAAGTTTCTTATGCAATGAATTTATGGTATTATTTAAATAATTTAAATGCAATAACTGAGACGTAATTTCAACGAAACATTTAGAAAAAACTGCACAATGATTAAAGCTCAATGACTTCATAGACTTAATGCCAATATTTTAAAATAATTTTCAATTGAGAACTTTGTTTGACAACTTTTCAAATCAATTTCACTTTATATCTAGTTATTTTCATCTTTAATTGAATCATTCGAAACTACGTACTCTTACCTTGTATTGTTCTCTTGAAAAATGCTTTGCATGCCTCGCAAGAGGCTACTCCGTAATGGAAACCACTAGCAACATCTCCGCAGACAAGGCACAGCCTTCTAGGCATTATATCTTCTTCTTTGGCGCTATCCTAAAATTAAAACAAAAACAAATTTTAAGAATTTATTCGATTCTCTGCATCAATTTACATTTTTTTTTTTTCATGACAAAAAATATACAATGCTTGAGTATAATATCTTGATTTCATTCTGTCAAATCGATATATCTAATTAAAAGTTCTCCAGAATTTTAAACATAATCATTTTATTAACAGCATTGAGACTTCAATTTTTCTTCGTTTATGTATTTCTTTTTTCAGACTTTGGTCTAAAAATATCTCTGATTATTCAATTGTCAATTAATTCACTTATTTTCTTCAAAAATGCATTCGACCAATCGTGTTTAAAAATAAAAAATAGAATTTCAAGTTTGTGAATAATTTTCGAGGAATGTTAAGGCCATGCGTTAGTGTCAAATTCAATAACTGCAGCCGCTACATCGTTTATTTTTCAAAATTTTTTTAAAACTTTTTAAAAACTTTTTTCCAAACTTTTTTAGCCTGTACATAATGAGTGTCTGTTAAAAATCGATTCTACTCTCTAAACCATAATTTTATAAACTCAAATAGTTGCAAACTAATCGATAGACGATTATGCATTCGATGCATAATGTAATGTACAAATTAGCAACTCGTAAATACATGTATACATGAAAACACATATATATGGAGCTTATGAATTTATGGATCTTATTATAAAATTACCTCCGGTGTGCCCAGCGGCTGCGTCGTCGAGGAGCAGTGGTGCATTTCAGGACTCCCTGGGCTGCCTGCACTATAATCTGGCAAATCTATCTTCGTGCACAGCGCCTGTACAATGTCAAATTAATTATGCTACGAATAAAGAGACTCATTCATGGTTTGATTGCAATGTTTCGATGATCATTCAGTTTTTCAAAATCAAGCCAAAAATTTGGACTACAAAGCTAAACTTTGTCCCGCAGCATCTATTTAACGATTATTTATCAAGAAAACTCGTTAATAATTAAAATTAGATCGCATAGCAGAAAGCAAACGCGTAAAACTGATACTACTTTATCGTAATGATGCACAACTCCTCCATGACATAACCACCTTACGTCAAAGTGAAATTGCGATGTAAATTGTATAACTTGAAATCTTTATCATATAGTGCTGCCTCTCGACGTCGTAAAGATTATTTGGAATAATAATGACAAGAATAAAATTAAAAAACTTTATTAATAGGCATACGACAAGTTCATTCAATAAGCTAACTAGTAAGGGAAATCATAATTTTTGATTCTATTTTAGACAATCGAAATTATTGAGTACCTCCTGTGCTTGCAGCGTCGTGGTAGGCGAGCACATCTGATAATTCGGAGTCGGCGTGGCGGGACTTTCCAGTTCTTGTTTGATGTTCGGCATGGTCGTCCTATTGTTGCCGATCATATTCTCGGTCGGATTTCCTGACATCATGCAAACCTGAAATTTCATTGAAAAAAAGAAGTACATTAACAAAACGTCTTTTCAAATCAAACTTTTAATAATTCTTTCATGGTCAATTCATCACCTGTCTCATTCAACGAAAAATAACACGCGCAGGATTATGCGAGAATACAGGATCGGAAAAAAAAGAATCGCATACATGTGCAAAACAAAATACTCCAAAGAGTTTTTTGTCCCGAGAAAAAAAGTGGCAGTGCATCGACGGCGCGATAAAAATGCGCGCCGATGAGTATAAGCGCGTGACACGCTGAAAAAAAAAAAGAAAAAGAGGTTGCACTTCTTTATACGCTCACGCGCGCGTGTTCTCGCGCAAGCTACTATTTTTAGTGGGACCTATAATGTATAAGAGCATTTTTAGAAACGTGAACGGCTCCTGAATCTCGGCGAGTATCCTCAGAGCGGCGTATGTGCCGCGACGTCACCACGCGCACTTATGCCGACGTTCGAAATAGAAGCGCGCACCTGCTCTAATTTTTTCGCAAATCATATAGCCCGCCTCTTTATTTTTTATTTAGCATTGACCTCAAAAGTAATCTTCGAGCTCAAATTAAATTCGTCAAACCGCATTATAAACAGAGTGGAGTTCGATACTTTTGTCTCGAAATGCATCTTGAACGGTTGCGGAGTGAAAAAAAACACTAGCCGATAATATAATCGAGATGCTTTTAGCAGCAAGAGAGAGAGAGAGAGAGAGAGAGAGAGAGAGAGAGAGAGAGAAAGAGAGCTTCAATGATACTTGGCCCGATTACATCAATTGCAATAATATTAGAATGGAACGGTGCTATTTGGTTCAGGGGGCAATTTGAATCACGGCACAAAGTAATTGGTAAACTCAATTGTATGGTCTGCTATAGGGCCTCTAACGTATGTATATGGACACTTACACGCTGCACAAACGAGGTCGACACAAACATCTTCGTTATAGACACATTTTTTTTTCTCAACTTTCGTCAAAGTATCACTCGATACTACGTCAATGTTTTCGCACGATATTCTGCAACTGATATATTATTAGCGAATAAATTTCGAACTGATTTAGTATATTAATCGCGAAAAAATTATCGGCATTGATTATAAGCCTCGCTTTTATATCAACGATATATCTTATTATTATGTTAAAATATTGCAGTTGTATGCGGATAGATAATCGATATTACTGGTATTCCATGTCAGTCATTCAACTTTTAGATTGATAAGTCGATAGAAATTTTCAGCTACTCTGGGCCACCTGAAATTTTATTTATTAACTCATCGATCTCAAACGTTGCGCATACGTTTACAAACGTTCAAACGATGATTTAAAAATACCATAACATTAATAAGCTTATCTCAAGGACTTTGATTCATCAATTTGTACGTTACACCTAAATAAAAAGTCTAATCTACTTTACCATAGTTTGATTTTTATTTAATTTTTTGTTATGCAAAAACTTTCATATTTCAGAATAAAATCTCAAATCTATGAAAAAAAAAATCAATTTGAGCACTCATTTGCAAAATATGCTTTTTATTCGACAAAGTTGTTTACCAAAAAGTTCTAATAAGAGCCAATAAAACAATATGGGATGATAATCGAATTTTTTGATTTAGCCAAGACACGAAAAGCACTCGTGCTTGTCACGTAGATTATCTTGACGAATCTTGGAAAAAAATAAATAAATGCATATCATGCAGAACTGCATCGGACATCGTGAAACAAGAGTTTGGTATTATATGCATTTAAATATTTGAATGAGAGCGCGTGTGCAGAGTGTGCAGTCGACTCCGAGGCGCTCCCGACTGGCTCGCGCTTGCGCTCCAAATTCGATGTACGTAAGTATTATATTATATATAATACGGGATGAGCCGAGCAATTCGCACTGCAGCAGCGGCGGTGGCAGCGGCGCGGAATATAGCATGTGATGTCAGTCCTCGGCACATTATAATAGTATGCACATGCGCGGCGCACCGAAGCTTCGGTTCGGAGTGCAAAATATCTATATATCTATTCGTAAATATATAGTGGGAGGAAGCGAACGAGCGAGCAAAGGCGATCAAGAGTGCGAGAGAGAGAGAGAGAGAGATATATCTAGCTGCCTGGCCTTGAACTTGACTTTCCGAGGAGTTCTCGTGGCCGCGATCGCGAAGGCCGACTCGCTTCTCGCCGTGTAAGTGTATACGTGTGCAAGTGCACACATGTGTGCATGCGAGCATATATATATATATATATATATGCACACAACACACATGCTTGGGCAAATTTAGAAGAGCGAGGCTCGACGAAACAGCCGATGGCAAAAGATACTTTGCTCGCTCGCTCACGCACTCGCACTCACACTCACGCACCCGTACAATGGCAGTCGCCGAGAGTATACATTTGTTATCTCTTCTCTCCCTTTGCAAAATCTTGTCGTCCATGTGTCGGTGTGTGTGTGTGTGTGTTAGGCGTCCTTGGCTACACCAGGCCTATATATAGCACACACACTCACACGCACACACGATACGTACATATGCGTCTTGTAAATATAAATCCAAGTGTTGAGAATGTGTGTCTGACGACGACGTCGCGCCGGTCCTCCTCTTTTACGCTCACGGTAAACGCACTTACGTACAGACATATATACGCTATGAATGAGGAATCGCTTTTGCCTCTCGTCTCTCCTTTCTCGTCTCTCGTGCTCGCTCGCTCGGCGGTTGCGAGTCGAAAAATAGTAAGAGAAACAGAATAAGAGGAGACGCAAATTTGCCAATAATCTTAGCCGATCGACAGAGTTCATGGCTACGGGGACTTGGCCTGAGTTATTTACCGCCGCTCGACTGCCACCGCTTTAGAAATGTTTCATCGTTTGCACTAACAATATTACACACACAACGAGAAACCTGGAATAGGACAATTCGATGGACGACTGTCGTAGCGTAGCAGCTGTGCTATACGACGTTTGCGAGAGAGAGCTTTTAGCGAGCTTCGAATCGTCGAAAGTTATGGTAGCTCGTTAGCCTCCGAGCTTTTCCGAATACGAGAATTATTGGCTCGGACGTCTGGCGCGCGTACCGAGGAGCCTATATAACAAAACGACGTTTATGTACCTTCGAACCGAACTGTAGTAGTATATATATACGAGCTTTGCTCTAGTTGGCTGCGACGAGTCTACGAAAAACGCCTGCGTGCGCGCGCGATTAAACCTTATATATCGCGCCGAATCGATTTCGCTCGAGGATAAGAAAATTAAAGCGTGATATACGCCCAGGCCAAAATTATAATTGGAAATTTACAAGTAATTTTTCGCACCTTCATTCAAAATATTGATCGAGTGCAATTAACGCAATCTCATAAATAAAAGTGCAGAATCGAGCGCGTTAAAAATTATAACGATTCCGGAGCGGCGGAAATTATCAATTTGAGCATGAATTTATACGCAAGTCGATGCGTGCATGTTATAAGCTTATTACGCGCATTCGCGCTCGATAACGCGCGCGCTTAGGAGGAACAAAGATGTTTTTCCCCAAAAGTTTTGCGCGATCTAAAAATAAGATGCGAATAAAAAAAAAAAAAAAGAAGAAAAAAAAATTAAATGGAATGGCTCCGCGTGTCGATACACTCATAACTTCCTGCTTTTAGCCCTCTCTTATATACCAATGCACTCTTGGCGATCGCGAGGCAATCGTGTGTGCGTGCAGTTTCGTCGAAGGAAAGTCTCTCTCTCTCTCTCTAAATAAATCTACGAGTGCGTACGATATGATACTCTCGAAAGAAGCCATATATAATTTCGTAATTGGTCGCGCAGTGAAAACACGCGGCATATAATATTCAAATATCCGAGAGAGCTTGCAGTGCCATTTATAACCCCCGCTGCGACGCATGTACGATCGGCCGCGCGCGCGCGCTGATATGTAATATCTTATGAAGCAACAACGTCACCGCGATCGTGCACGTTTTCGTCTCTCGCTCTCTTACTCACTATTTTATAGCTGTTACCGTAATCGTCATCTCGATTATAAACCACGCGCGCGCACGGCGATTCTTTGCATCTCTTCGCTCGTCGCACACACGCTAAAATGTGCATATATCATACGCAGCACGCGAAATGGATTCAATATTCTCAATTGTCAGTCGGTACAACGTCGCTGCTCTCTCGTGTGTGTGTGCGCGCGCGCGCGCGTGTGTGTGTGTGTGCTCTCCGATGCGCCGCGCGACTGATATAGTCGCATTTTTTACAAGGTTTTTTCTTTTTACTTTTTAATTGAAGCTCGAGCTCTCGAGTGCTGTAACACAGGCAGCGCCAGCGCAATGATAGAAATACGTATACAGCCTATCATCCCGAGGCGCACACGATAGAGAGATGATTGAAATCGGCAAAATATATGTATACCTAGAGATGCATGTCTCTCTCTTTCGCTCTATCTGAGTATTGATCGAGGAAGAGATCAATTTTCCGCTTTACATGTGAACATTGATCGGCTACATATGATCGCGAATATCGCGAGCCGCTCCACGGGAAGAAACGCGTGTGTGGTATAGAGATGTCGAGTCGGAGCGTGCGCGCGGATGTGTGACGCGTTGCCAGCAGCAGCAGCAGCGAGATAGTCGAGTGCGGCAACTAAATGCTCAAATCTTGTCAAATACGTATAAAATGATATTACGTAAGGGAATGGTAACGAGGAAGCTTTTGACAGTGATTATTGCGCGTACTCTATCATTGTTCGCTCGCAACTTGAAACTTATATATATATCGATCAGCTTGGAGAATGCAATATTTCCTCCAAAGACAAAAAAAAAAAAAAAATAATGAAAATGTAAACTAAGTAGTAGTAACGCGCAGAGGTGTCGATTACTTTGCGGCTCGGCAGCAATAAGATATCGTTGTACTATTTGCCGTGCAACAATTTTATAATCCTTCGATTGAACCGCATTTACAATATAATTACTCAGCTGCGGCAGTTATTGATTTATTTACTTATCATGTTGTAACATATAGCAGCTTGCATATGCATTAAAGGATCTGCATATTACGCGCTTTGATTTCTCCGCTCATTATATTCGCAGCTCTAATTGTCTGGTCGCTCCGCCGTCGAAAAATACTGCGATAACCGAGAGCCGAATAATTCTTTTTCTTTTTCGCTTCAGACGACCTTGACCAGCCCTACCACCGAAACAGGGTTCATCGATCGGGAAACAAGTGTAGGCGGCGCGCGAAATATAATGTGCCAGTTTTTCACTCCGTATTTCGTGACTCGGAATAAAATGCAATAAAAACAAGGCGCGAGCGCTGTATTCTCGCAAGTCGAATTTTGTTTTAATAAAATTAACGACGTTTTACCGATCTCCCGCCTTTTCGCATTGATTTTTATTTCGTGTCATTTATTATTATAGCACAAGATATAAGTCATTCCGGAATAAAAAACAAATAAAAATCCAAATTCAATGGCTTGCACTCAACCGAGATGCGAGAGACAGTTGAAAGCAAGAAAAATAATGGCTCGGTAGAAAAAAGTGTTTTTTACATTAACATGTATACACATGTAAATATACAGACATACAAGCGTACACACATGTATGAGTAAGTATATACACGTATAGGTGAAAATCGATATTGAGCGTCAGGGTGTATCACAGGGTCAGGGTTGCGCGAGTTGATACGTACAAGGTCTCGGCCACGGCTCGTCTGGTATACAAGTGAACGTTCTTTTTCTCCGCTCGTATGGATTATACACACCGCCGTCTGGGGCAGACACGCTTTTCAAAGATCACGTCTAGCAACATTTCTTCCTCTTTTGTATTTACTGTCGAGTAATATATTTGATTTATGGCACTTGCTTTTGGGCGAAATTTCGCTGCGTCTCTGGCGTATACGTTCCTTTGTTTGCAGAAAATCAATAAACATTTTTCTTTATCGTTTAATAAAAGAGAAAAGTTAGCTTGAAATTAAAATTAAAATAGTAAAGCCCACGTAGCGTGATTATTTTTAAAAGCTTTATTAAATTCTATTTGCACTCTAGACGTATAAACAAGAGCTTGTTTGATGGTGTTTTATGAATGAAGTTGCAGCTTCTATTTATTCTACATCTTTCAAATAATTGTAATAATTTTTATGTTGTTGTCATTCAAACCGTAAGAGATCGCATTTTATTACTAGTATTCAATATTTAACCCCTGGTTTAGGAATTTAAATATATATAGAAAGGATTACATAAAACAACAAGTTACGAAGAAAATTGTTTTAGAGTAAATGATAATTAATTATTTTGATAAGAGGATTACTTTATTTATAAGTGGTAAGCATCATTATATATGAGTAATTAGATCAATTAAAGAAAATGCGGTAAGAGTTTCATTTCTCATTTTGTGATAAGATAACATCTTTAAATTTAACGCGTATTCATGATAAAAGTTAAAACTAAATTTTCTCGATTTCTACACGACCCAACATCATTTATCCAGACTATTGATTATCATAAATTTTACAACACAAATCTCCATAGATTCTGCTTTCGCGATTCGTCGGGGACTTTTTTTAAGCGGAATCGAGCGCATTCAAAGTTGCAACGAAAAACGCATGTCGTCATCAAGGCTGCGCACCAACAAAATATTAATAAAAATAACATTGGCCGTCTTATACAACGTGCAGTTTATATTATTCCGCTTGTACAGCTGGAACATCGAACACATTTCCGATTGTTTTTCATGACGATTGAGATTTTAATATCCCAACAATGTGACGATTAATTTGCAATAAACCAGCAACTTTTAATATCGCGCCTAATTAAAATATGCACATGAACATGAAGTTGCATGGATCAATGAAATTCTAGCGGAGATAAAAAGATTGGCTTTAAACGGAACAATAGTAAAGCTATAATCGATATAGCATTAGGTGGGGAACGCAAAAAAAATTTGGAACACCGATCATCGAGATGGAGACTTTAAAACTGCTTTACGCTTCAAGGCCGTTCTTGCTCACGCTCACTAGTGTACGCATACAACAAATTCATACGTAGTAACTATTTTTAAAGTGGGATTGGTCATAGTTTGACAAAAAGCTATTAAACAGCTACTCGACGAGAAATCGAGTTTTTCAAATCATCCTCGTGACAATACAAATTATAATTCAAATATAAAATGATAATTAATGTATTCAAATAAATGAACGCACTTCTCTCATGAACACATACGAGCAATTTTTACAGAATTATTTTTAAAAAGCCTACAATATAAAAGTAATATTATATTGTATCATATTATACCGACTAAAACATTTATACTTAAAATAAAAAATATTGTTTTTTACGAAATGTAGAATGAGTCTTTTTAATTTGTAAACTTTTATGAACGAAAGTAAATACAAATAAATATTTTTTCAGTGTCAAACCCCTATAAATAGACTGCTATGTGCAATGCACATTGTGAATTCTTTTGTCCAATGGGGACTCGGATGTACAATTGAAATACCTGTAAAAATTAACTTTCTCGGCTTCATTGATCGTAAAATTCGTAAAGTCCCGACAAAAAGTGCAAAATTTGCATTTTAATCGGAAAACTCTTGCATCGGAATAAAATTGCGTCGATGTACAATTTTATTGGCTCGTTCCTCGGCACATGGAAAGCAAGCCAGTCAGTCGTGTGCGAATGAGATGAAAAATTTTATTGTGGAAAATACGACGATAACAAGTTCATTAGAATCGTCGCACACACATGCGCAGGAGGGTTGTTGCAAAAATGGCACATAACGCGAGTTTTTCAATTAGGGTCAGTTGCAGAGCTATCAAAGTTCGAGCTCGAGCGAGTCCGTTTCTTTGAATGTATATACTGTACCAGAGCACACATGCATTAAAATATATCTATATTTGCCAATGCAAATGTAATTTTACGTTTGGAAACCATACGAAAATATTTTTCAAGTGGGCCCCCCTCTAAATGAAAACTTCATTTCCTTAGCTATATGCATTGTCGCGAAAAGAAAATTTCGAATCCAATTATGTAGTCGAGAAGTTTGAAAAGAAATCTTAGTGATGTAATCTGCAGCGGTATTAAGTTTTTTTTTCATCAAAATTACGCTTGTATCTGCATAACAGACTTCTGGTTTACGTAGGCTGAGACGCGCGTCGAGACACACACGCGTGTGTGTGTGTGTTGTGCATCGCACAATGTAAAATACTAGCTTCAAGATATCACTTTTCGTTAGTAGGCAACGCGTACATTTAATATCTCGTATACATTTTTTGTAATCTTATAGAACATTTACGCAATAGTTTACTACAAAATTTTTGCATTCTCCGCGAACTGATAAATGATGAATTTTTAATGTTTTCAATTGGGTTTATCTTTCGGACAGAACTCGTAAGAACTTTCGATTCTTCGGATGCGGACAAAATCGCGATTATAATAGGTGTCTCGCTTCTAATGTGTACTGGTATTTTAAGTATATTACGCAGGTTACTCATGCTCACGAGATGTTTTATTCGAGATAAAATGCTTATGTAGTAACATCATAAACATCATCTATATAGCAGAACCCGTTGCGGCGACTCGAGGCGAAAAAAATGTAAATAAACAATCGACAGAAAAATTTTTCCCTCGTCCACGCACACATACACATACACTGTGTATTCGTTAGTGTACATCCGATCTATAAAGCATCTCGTGCGTTCGCTCTGTCTCTCTCTCTCTCTCTCTCTCTCTCTCCCTGTCACACCATCCCGCACGCCGCAAGATCAAAACAAATCACACCGCCTCGCTTACAGCGTGTATTCTCTCTCTCTCGCTCTTCTTATGTCGCGTAATACCCCCTAAATGGTGGCTATTAAACATATATAATATACTTTACGCGTGCACATTATCGCACAAACGAGTCAATATAATTCACAAATATATCAACGTTGTAGCTCTTCCTCGTTTCGTCGTCGCCGCGCGCACGTACTCGTAATTTCGCATTTTGTAAATTCTGCGCACACAACTATATGCATTGATCGCATTACAATAATGAAAAAAAAGGCACAGCGAGTAATCGATAAAGAGGGAATAACGAAAGCGAATTCGAAATAAACCGCCGTCGCTGCTGGTCGCATTAATTTTAATAAGCGTAATTCAAATATATACACTAAAACAAATTCGCATGACGAGGCGCGTACACGAGCTCAAGTAATGTGCGAGCGCCTGGCGCGGAGCGACCTTGATAATGAAAGTCTCGCGGTTCGCCGGCAGTAGCAGTAGTAGCGGCAGCAGCAGCAGCAGCCGCATCGGACCGCCGATCGATCGTTCGATCTATCATCCGCTGGCTGAGCGTCCACTTTGTGCTCTCTTTTTTCGATTTTGTCGCGAGCTCAAAAAAAAAAAAAACAAAACAACAAAAGGCCAAAGATAATACTCACCATGTCGTACATCCAAGTGTCCATGACTGTCTCGTACATATTTTTGAGTTAAAAAATTTAGCGGCCTGGCAAGTGGAACGAGGAGGTGTTATGAATTATAAAAATCGGCAGGTTTTTTGTATTTTCGGTTGACTATATAAAACCCGTTCCCCGTTGGCTGCCAATCTCGGCCAAGCTTTATAACGTGTCGCAAAAATGCGCTTGTATATTTGGACGTTGTTATCGACTGCAGTCTATCGCTTCAGATAGTTACTTGTGTAAGAGAGAGACTGTCCGAAAAGGTAGGATAGCCGATCGCGTCGATCGATCATATCGGCAGAATCATCGTGATTTTGCGGGCTCACAACGAAATCGGCGCACTGAGAAACAACGAGTAGTAGTAGTAGTAGTTGTCGTCGTCGTCTTCTGGTATCGGATGATAACCAATCGGACACGCGCACACCACCGTTTAAAAAAACAAAAAACGAAGGACCTCCTCCTCCTCTTCCAAATAGTCGTCAACACATACAGTAGCAGACAACAAAAAACTGGCGAACTGTGTCTGTCCGTGAACAACAATAATCGTCGAGGCAAAACTGGAGAGTGCAGCAACGAAAAAAAAAGTTAGAGGGGGTCGAGCGAGCGATGTTAGCAGCTCTGCGGGCCGTGCGCGACTACTGCCACAGCGAGTGCTTTGCTCATCTGATGTTCTGCTGCTGCTGCTGCTGCTACTGCTACACTTGCCTCCCCGCGATCTCCTTGCCTGTGCAGCGTGTATACATACAGCATATAGATATAGATACACAAGCGTGCATGTATATACAGATATATAGTGCTATACGCTCGTCACTTCGGAGCTTCGCGCATCAGCACGCATAGATCGTATATATATGAACATATATACACGTAGGGTAAGCTTACATGTATACAAACGCACGCAGACTCGAGCATAGCAGCTCGACTATATAGCGATGTGTAGATGCGCGCAAAATGTATATATACGTATAGACGCGCCGAGTCGAGATTATGCCTGTGTTTGTACATAAATGCTTCGTGTGTGTGTGTATATATAGGCGCATACACAGAAGAGGAGCGTCGGCTACGTCAGACTACATCGCATGTGTATATATCGTCGTCGTCGTCGTCGTAGCGTACCTACATACATATATACGCATTGGCACGGACTGTTGTTGTTTAATACACGAGGAGGGAGACTTTACTCTCTCGCTTCTTTGCTCTCTCTCTCTACTCGCAGACCAGCCAGACTCTGGCTGCGGCTCTTTGTTGTCTATCTATCCTATATACCGAAGTTTGCGAGCTCACATGCGAAAAGTAAATGGTGTTCGTTGGATGCTACGACGACGTTTTTTGCCATAAATCTATGGCACCTTATAATGTAAGCCACACGCAGATACGAGCGGGCGCGCGAGCGAGTAAGAGAGAGAGACAGAAAGAGAAAAGAGGAGGAGACCCCCTCGGAGTCTTTTCTTTTGCGCCATAATCGCTCGCCTCGTATGTATATGTAGCATCTCACCAAAGGGGGTTGTTTTTATTATTGGTCTCTTATACTCTATGCGCGCCCAGGGGAAGAAGGGTTCAAGGTTCCTCGGCTAAGGGGCTTTTGCCCTTTCTTGGCTTTCGAGTCCTATATTTGTATGCATATACTGAATAGATCGAGAAAGAGAGAGAGAGAGAAACTGCCTCGACATAACGGAAGAGGCTCGCATATGGAAAGAAGGGTTAGCAAAATAGGTATCTAGGGCACGCATTGTATAAATACTGGGCCTACAACTTACTTACTTATGCATGCACGGGAGGTTTTAATGTGGCTGCTGGGGAACTTTAAAAAAGAAAAAATATTTCTCCGGCATAAGCAGGCGAGGCGCCAAACACAGAAAAAAGCATTTCGAAGTTGATTTGTCGCGCTGCAAACGCATTATTTGTATATCTCGGTGCGCACGTTACGTTTAGCGAGTATACAGTCGAATAAACGTTCTCGACTGTGCCGTGCCGTGTACGATATATGTGTGTAGTAAAATCGAGCAGTAATCAATACGGCCGGCGTTGGCGCACCGTAGACTGTATTATGTATCCTGGCTGGCCTTGAAATTTTGCGAAAGCCGACGTCGCACCGCCGCCGTCGTCGCTGTTGCCGCTGCGACTTCGCTAACTAGCGCCAGTAAAATTATTACCGCAACCAGTCCCTTTTATCGAGCCAGACTATGATCTAATAGAAAATAATACCCGTACTGTACAGTGCACTTAACTTTTGCTACTCTGTATCGCGGAGTGCAAGTATTATGCGCTGGCGCGGCGGCATGCAAAATAAGCTCAGGACTGCACGTGTCGAGACGCTCGAAAATTATTATTAAAATAAATTCAAGCACGAGACGAAATAATGAAAAATAAGATATGATGTAACAAGGACGGTGTGTATCTTGAGATGCAGTTAGATTTTTATAAAATAAAAAATTGTCTCTCGCCGATAAGTAAGGATAACATTAAATATTTTTTTACCCCACAGACGATTGTTTCCTCGAGCGATGATATTTTCGATGCATCCCGCGAAGAAAAAAAAAACTACAGATAACTTTGGATTTTCTTTACATTTCTCAAAGTTCAAATTTATCGATTGTCCATTCAGAAAGTGGTCAAGTTCAATGAAAACTTGAATTAAAAAAGCATTGCTTTTGTCGCTACTGCGACGACGGCGAAATATCAAATCCTTAAAAATAATTCAAACCACAGCCTAGGAAAATTAAAATCGAGCGAAAAAATATTCATTTTCCAACGATCGCGAGCAAAAATATTAGACATCGACAAGTTTTTAAAGGTTCAGAGCCGTTTATGTGGCTGCTCGTCGTTAAAAAAATAAAGGAAGTAAAGAGTAGACTGGATACCTATTATAATACACGTACACGGAGACGCGCTCACACGTGTTGTACGCGCATTATGGCATTATGTGCAGGAAGAGAGAGATACACTGGCAGACGTTTGAACCTGATGCCGTGAGCGAGCTCGAAGCTCGTTCCTTCTTTGCGCTCCTTTTATTTTCTTTCCTTTATTTCTCTCTCTCTCTCTCTCTCTATCCGTGCATACTGACACAGAAAGAGCAAGAGATAGAGAGAGTGAGAGAGAGAACTAGGGAGACTCTTAAGCTGCAGCCGACGCTTACACGTACACAAACTCGTACATAGCGAGATGCACTCTGCGCTTTAAAAAGAAAGCAGCCGAACTCGCGAGACGCGCGTGTGCACCGTATGAGCCGGCGCGTGCGAAATCCGAAATAGGAGACGATGTCTCGGCGTTTTTAGATATTGCGCTGCATACGTGACTGCGTCGAGATGAGAGAGCACTAAAACTTACGATTTATAATCGTTTTTTTCTTCCACTACATTTGTTTTCCGTACAAAGTTGTGTGAAATCGCACCCTTTTACAATCCGCGATAAATCATCGAAAATTGTATGATGCACGGGCTAAACGATCGCTGGCATGATACTTTACTTTGTAATTATTATTGACGATTCAAAAACGACCCCCCTTTAATAGCTATCTCTCTCTCTCTCTCTTTCACTTTCGTTTTTCAATCGAATCGAACGAACGATGAAAAAAGTATTACTTTCGATCGTGCAATTATTTTTTTATTCGAGCATGAGTTATACTCGTGCATCAGAAAATAATATTTGTCCTTAACGAACATACGTGCGTTTTGCATATGAAATTATATTATTTTAGCTTGTCAAACAATGAATATTTTTCTGATAGTTATACGTAGCCTCGATTTCATTGAAAATCTTTCGAACAAAATTATTCCGATTTCGGCTGTTTACTGCCCAGAGTGGTTTTTTAACTGCATCTTCATGATGCACCGTATGCATCACGATGACTAAAGACGGTGACACGTGATACCGTGTGCATTACATATTGTTTTTTCAGTATGTCATAATGTCTTGCTCGGATGTTTATGCAACTTTTCATACCCGGCGCCTCTCTTTCTCTCTTTTTTTCGTTTGTAGTTACTTTTTAGTTAATTTTTCTCTGATGGAAAATAATAATACTAAAAGGTGTACATGTTCTTGTGACACATTTTAGTGCACGCATACAATGCATTATCGATCAAGCCTGAGAATTATGCATCGTTTAGAAAAGCTTATTTGTCAGTGTGATTTCAATTACTAACTTTTCAGTGTGAATCAAAATTTCAGTTTGTAAACTCAACCAATGAGAATCTAATCAAGTGAAAAATTATTAATGTATTTTAATCTCAATATAGCGGCATCTGCGATCGAATCAGCCAAGATTTTCCGGGTTGTCAATTCTTGATACGTAACGATGACGTATATGTTCGAGTCAACACAAGAACAGTCGCGCAGCAGCTACAAGACATTCGCATGTACGAATTCAAATGTCATAATTTTAGAGAGAAATCGAAAAATTAATTTGGGAGCGGTTTCCTAAAGCTGTGCCAAACGAGAAAGGCGATAGAAACCGCGTCTGAATAAAACAAAAAGATCAACGGAATTTATTACTTATCACCTCGGCTGGCGAATCGAAAGTATAAATTATCAAATTAACAGAAAGTTTTGCATAAAACGTCGAAAATTTGGCGACGGCTATAACGATTACAAGCGAGGATGACGTGGGCAGACAAAATCGGTCATTAACTTTTCTGGCTGGAAGTTTGCCTTGGAAAATATCACTCGTTACGATCGACGAGATCCTCGGCCGATACTTTTTCTCCTACCGAATATCCTCTGCGATTCAAAATGTCAGTAATACGCAGCCCGTCTACATCGGCGTGTAGCCTAATTTACGTTGATAATGTGCGCAAAAATTTCGAAGGTTACATTAATTACCATCGAACAATTAAAAAAAGGAAATGCAGATTCGTAAACATAAGGTGCTTGAGATAACGAACCGATTTATTATATTTATCGTTTTGTTATGCGTCACATATAATCGAGCGAGTTGTATGTAAACAACACAAGTTTCGAGGCACGGGCGCGAAATCCGCATTGTATTCGCTCATACATATTATATAGGATGCCAACGAGATGCGCTACTTGCGAGTTCGAAATATATATAGGCACGAGTCGAGTACGCGATATGCAGCAGCAGGGATCTCGAGTTCCATAAACGCATTTGGATTCGTCGCTCGCTCACTCGGTAGTAATAAGCCGGAGCAGCTCCCGACCGACTCCGAAGCTCTCCGACTGATTTCGCCAGATAGAATAAATGTTATTATGTAGCTCGGCCGTGTATTATACTCTCGCGCTCTCGATTGCGGCGGTATATAACGTATATCGCACACAACACGGCGGTATAATAGGTGTATCGGGCAGCCCGAGCGGCCTTGAACTTGACTAGCGTTCGAGCGTGCACGAGCAATAATTTTCGCGCGCGCGCGCGCGACTTATACATATACGTACACACATGGCTACACACAGAGAGACGCACCGATACGCGACAGCGTGGGTGTATCATTTAGCGGAGCAGAGTTAGCCACTGGCTTACGTACAAAATTTAGCGGCGTAAGTTTAACCGAGGATAACCAGTCCTATGATACACAATGCATTTGGCATTTTTGCCGAAACTTTTTTAGGCAGAATCTGAATAAGGATGAACGTGTAAAACCGAAATTTCAGTGCTCGGAATTGATTCTATCAATAAGACCTTACGGGCATCGCGATCAAAGATTTAATTTAATTAAACGCAGGATATAAAAAAAATTATGTTAGGTACCTCATATATCTGTCGAGAGAAATAAAGCATAGTCCAGGAAAAAATTTGGTAAATCACTTTTTACTCACTTCGGCTGACATAATGATACTTTTTTCTTTTAAATACGTTGACGCATTAAAAATGCAATTATGAAAATTAAAACGATACACTCGAATATTTAAAACTTTATCTTTGTTTTTAAGCTGATGATGTAATTATAACGAGATTCCATTTTCCTTTCTCGCAATATCTGCATAGATCGAATTAATTGGAATTGAATATTTTTATTCCAGATCGTAATTAAAAAAAAAACTGTTTCATTATCATTTTTAATAAAAACGCATGGAACGAAATTAATGTCCACGCGAATTTAGGAAATATTATCTATACAAGGACATGACACTTTTATATAATTCATTTAATAAAATCATTTAGCTTTACCTTGGTTAAGAAATGATAAAATCGAGTTCAAAAAAATTCAACAATAATTTTTTCAAATAAAACAATAATTGCAGTCATTTATTCAAAAATACAAAAATGTTATAATTACAGTTTATCTAGGTGTGTTCTAGACCTTACAGTTACTTTTTTAACTATAGTGGCAGTATGAATTTTTTTAAAAAATTTCAACCACATTTGTACAAATGTAGCAAGATTAAGATTGCCAAGTCATAGAAAGTGTATCAAAAGTTTTGAAATACTGTGAATGCTAGTCCTAAAAGTGAGAGGACATGAATATTTCATTGGAAATATTACCACTTCTAAAATTGCATACCTATCAAACAAATGCAATGGTTCCATTTATTCTAAATATTAAATAGCTATAACTAACTTTCCGGTATAGTAAAAGTATCAAACTACTATTTTATAGTTAAATTTACAAAAATTATCATTATTACATAATTTTGTTCTATTCAACATTGTACATAACATGATAACTAAAATTGTATAATTTAAATAGGACAGATATTTTATCTTTGGATGCTTCGTATCATATCAACAGAAGTATTTCGTATCAAATTTGAACTATTGGAGTTATTTTGAGTAATCAAATTATTCGATTGCCCTTGATAATTATTCCCTCCAGATGAGGCATGTCTAATGGTTGAACTCTGTTGAGGTTGATTTGTAGCTGATGATCTATGAGGAAATTGGGAATGAGCAGATGAATCAGTTGATGAATTTGATGGAACACCATTTTCAACAATGGATGTATGACTACCTATTGCATTATAAAACAAAGTTTTTCATTTAATTGTTGCCTATATAATTTGATTTTACAAGTACTGTAAACGTTGTCCTAATCAAGTTTGACTTTTGATACAGACAAATTTACAGGCACTTACGGCTTGTGCTTACTGTTATTTGATGATGGTGATGTTAATGGGATTGCAAGTCTTGCATTAACAGCCAATAGATGATCTCTTCTCTGCAACAGACTAGTAATATTTTCTTCTAATCTCAAATTTTCTGCTCTCAATTGATGGAGACAAGATAAGAGAGATGCGATATCAAAATGTTGCGCTTGGTCCATTAAAAATTGACTTCCCTGTTCCCACTGTCTTTCTAAAAGCTGATCTAAAGTTTGAGGAATATTACCACTTCCAAGAACTCCGCTGTTATTACTTGTTCCTGCGGGATTGTTAGAAGTGAAAGAAGTACTGGCAGCATTTTGACTAGCTTTAACTGAAGCAATTACACGACTGTGTAAAGGAGGGCCAACCAAATTGACTCCAGCATTATTTGCTTCGGTGAAAATTGAATGAGCTTTCATTTCTTGTGAAAGAGTGTCGGACATTTTTTGTGCCATTGAGGATGAAGGATTCAGTTGATTTCCTAACATATGTGGAGCACTAACACCATTGTCAAATAATTTTGGTTCTTTTTCTTCTTTAGGTTGATATTTGGATTCAGTATGTACATACTGGGATGCATGAGCAAAATTTTGAGATCCACCTGATGTAGGTCCGTCGTGAGTTCTTCTTTTTCTTTTGGTTGACGTCGAACTTCCCATGCTTTCAGAATTAGGGCTACTTGGAGGAGAATCCTTAACAGTAGGCCCCATATTGTCGTTAAAACTAGAACGCATTTAAATTACTAATGTGAAAATGGTAACTGCAATGAAATTCTGCAGCAGTTTAACTGCGTAATAATTGTGCAAACAAATTTAGAGGCAGAACCTATAACAAAGTATAAGTTATTATACAAAAATTAAAAATGAATATTATTGAATAAATTATTTAAACTTACATGCGCATGTACAATCTTGTTTTCAACCAATGCCCTATCGAAATACAAAACTATATTTCATTTTGGTATCTGTTGTTAAACTATCTTGCTAATAAATTCCAGATATTCCCTGAAAAATACAAAAAATTTGAGATGAAGTAATTTGAAATAAAGCAGTATATTTATGATGGTATGCTTTCCCTAGAAATTTGATGCATAAGTAATGAAGTTAAACACTAAACAGATGTTACAAGTTTGAGAAAAAAAACAATGACTATTGCTGAGTTACTAGAGATGTCATGAATTAAAAAATTAAGTATTTGACAAAAATACCAATAGCCATAAAATAATCCATCAAAATTATTTGTCAATACTTATAACGTGAGCAATAAAAATGATTGTTGCATAAAATGAACACTGTACTGCTTTATTAGAACAAATTTAAAGAATCTCAAATTTTTTGTACTTCCCAAACTTTTTGCAGTCGATGTTCAGTCAGATTATCAAAAAACACTGGTACAATAATATAAAACTTTCATATTACCAAAAAAATCAATTAACAATAAATTCATTTGCTTATGCAGTCAAATTTATTGCAGGTTTACTTATAAATCAGAGAATCATGTTCAAATCATATAAAAAACGGGATTTATCAAGTTTCAGAAGATTAAATTAGATGTACTTTCTTATGAAAAGGTAAAAAAGTTTTGTGAAAAAAGTATAAGACTAACCACACAATAGAGAAGAACATTTGGCAAAAATATTACCAAAAAATTATAAATGGAGAAATACAACAACAATACTGCTCATTAAAAACTGTAGAAAAGAAGATTTAATATCTAATTGATTAAATTGATGTTTACACGTATTCACCGGTTAAAATTCAAAGCAAGCCTCATTATAAACAGCAACATTAATCATAACCAATGAAAATAAACTGTTTCGTGTAATGCACACGTAAATGCAAATAAGTGCACGTTCTTACCTAACCTGCATAGAGAATTATAGCGGACGTTGATGTAACTCAATTTAAATACACATGTGCAAATCGCGACCTCTAGAAAGCTGATCATTCAATAGTTTTTTAAAGGGACTGTTTGCATTTCGATCTTAGCTCACCCACAAAAAGGAACTAAAATGTAACGATGAAGTGATACAGAAGACGTGTTCAAGGTATACACTCGTACTCCGAACTTACGCTGGCATGCATATATATCTATATGCATATGTAACAAAACAAAGATGGCGAAGCTCTCCTCGCGAAAATATAACGCACGCACTCCACCACTTCTCTCTCTTTGTTGCACTTTGCACGCGTCTGCCAGTCCATTTATATACTAGCAAGCAACGGCCAAGATCGACTATGTAATCTCTCTCTTTCACTCTCGCGATCGAATAAATAAAACATCATGGGGCTCTCGCTAATTTATGCGCGGCACTCGCTCACGGCGCTGGAAGATCAAGTTTTACGTGTACACGACTCACCTGTGCATTTGTGTATATCGAACAGAGAGACGCGAACGATGATGCAAGCGGAGTGCAGTAGTCTCCCCGATGCAGTGAAATGGCACACTAGACGAGGAGGGCCAGGGCTAAAGTTGGATGCTCTTTGTATATAAAGTTGCGAGAACCTCGACGACGACGACGACGACGGCGACGACTATATAACTGTACGCCAACGGCGATGAACGAGATGGAACAGATCGTTCGATGCGGATATTTAACTATGTAACTGTCGCGAAGCAGACAGCATCGCGCACTGTTAATAAAGAGCTGAGACGTTTAAAACGCGGTGAAATGACGTTCGCACGCACTCGCCAAGGCTTGCGAGATCTGCTGCTGCAGCAAACTTGACTCGGGCTCGCCGTGCAGGCCCGTGGGGGTGATGTTCGCTCGAAAAAGCGCTTAAACATATATATGTATATAGAGCGCTTACAATGCCGCGCTCGGTTCGCATGGATGCGCGCGTCGACTGCCGCGCCAGGGCTCGCTCGTCGCGGCGCGTTACGTTATTACCGCACGGAGACGAGACGGAAGTCGCCACTCGGGCGCTTGTGCGGTGGCGACATCGTGCGAATACGTATAACGTAGCGCATAAAATGTACAATTGTGGCCTCCTCTCAAGATAAGGTAGAAGCAATACTTGTTGCATTTTCTTCGTGTTACGTTTCCGTATCGTCGATTAACGTTAACAAATAATTGGCAAAAGACATTTAGTAAAAAAGTTTAATAAAACTTAGCAATACAATTTCGGGTTCAACATGAACTTTTGTTTCATTTTCTTAGACTGTAATCAGTAATTTGTGCTCGTCTAGAGCCAATACTTTTTTACTCAATCAAACTATCATAGTACAAAAATCTTTAACAATAATCTTAAAATTAAATTTTTAGAACTTCGCATGATATATTCTCTTGAGTCCATGAACCATCAACGCATGGTTTGAAGTTTAGTTTTGCAAATGTGCGTTTACTCAATCGCTCAGGATTCAGAATAACCGATTCGTTGATGTATTTACAAAAGTATCTCATGTCCGATGGCAGCAACAGCATGTGAGGTTTTTCTTTTAGAAAAGCATACTTTTCCCACAGCTGAGAATCAATGTTGATTTCTTTGGCAGGAGGATATAGTGGATAAAAGCAAGCCTGATTCAGAATGTAATTGCCCAATCGACTGAGCTTATCAGTTTTGCACGGTTTTCTATAAAAGAAAAATCATCATGTTAATTATTATGCAAAACATGTTTGTAGAATATAATAAAAATAATAATGTCTATCAACTTACAGTACAACTTCTTCTCGGCCCAAATGCATCAAAGTATCGATCGAAGTTATGCCGATTCTTAAACCATCAATATCTATTGTACAGGGATCGGGTAAAACAAAGATTTCTGGACTTTGCAATGATTTTGGTATGAAGTATTCTGGAGTTGGATAAACTGCGTGATGATGCACATCTCGACTTGATGCGACTAATACAACTTGTGTGCATTTCCTGTGAATTCAAAAAATTAATTTTCTATTCTTGAATTTTTAAATTACTTTAGTACTTAGAAAGCAATATTTACCCAGTCAAATAATTTTTTATTCTAATGATTAACTGATTGAAAAATTCTTGATAAGTGCAAGTTAGCGAATTATCTTGAACTTTTGGATGAGAGTGATCAAGGAAAGGCCCAATTAGAATGAGAACATTTGGTTCTTCTTCCGCTACTTTGGTCAAAAGTTCCCATAGAGGTTGAAACTCAAGATCGTTAGACTGAGTAAACGGCCCCGCTGCAACGTATACTTTCAATTCTTCAGCAATTTGTGGCGGTTTGGCCGCAGGAATGAAGCTACCCTTGTAAATATCTTGAACCTTTAACAAATTTCCAGTGATATTGACACCTTCAGTAGCGATTATTTGTCCAGGAAATAGGCTGCACTCGTGCAATTCACTAGGGTCAAGCTCAACCTACGAAAAGATAGAAGGAATCAAATGACGTTAACTTGTGACGCAAAAAAATATATTGCAGTTGACTTACGCATGGCCAAAATTTAGTATCTGCATTAGATTTTGGTGGTTTCCGACAACCCTCGAGAAGAGGAGTTGGATTGGATTGTTTCGTTTCGGACTCGAAACAGACCCTTCCCCAGGTTCTGTATTTCTTTTGATTGCGTGTCCGCACATTCCAGGTGAGGTAAGAGTCTTCGTCATTCGAAGCCGCTGCCCAAGTTGAACAAATTTGAAATCCAACTTGACGGCATACTCGAGTGCGTACATCCGACACGGCCTTGAGCAATTCAAACATGTAACGCTCGTTAGCGGGTACGTGTGATCCAGCTCGTCTTATGGGATACTTGGAATTATTGAGATTCAGCCATGACTCAATTTTTGATCCGAAAGTCATGAGAGTTTTCCCTCCTGTTTGGGTTTGTGTGGCATGCGGATATGGAGAGCTAAAATACGCAAAGAATAAAATATAATGTGTCGAGTTACATTAACGAAAGGACAATTAATGAAAAGAAGCAATATTTTTCTAAAACTTGAATTATTGAATGCTTCGAGCTAGCTGTCAAACATAATTCGTAGGCTAATTCGCGTAAAGCATCGAATAATTCCATCGGGAGAAAATCCAAGAGAATAAGAAAAAAGACGGATCAATAGAGCTTGGGACGAAGTGGAGGATATACATGCAAAAGAAAAGGAACAATAATAGAAACTAAGAGAAAAGAGAAAGAAAGAGAATCTCTACTATGCTTGAAAATAGCAAGAAAATAAGAATAGCACGAGCTACACATAACGAGGGTATATATCCCCCTCTTTGGTTTCTATTCAACTCACGATTGCGAGAAGCTCGGCGGCACCGAGGGTAGATGCTGCTGCTGCTGCGGCGTCGGCCTGCTCGTCGCTGTGTTGCTGCTGCTGTTGGCATCATCGTCCGTTGCTTTCCATCCGCTTGTAAATTCGCTATCTTCGAGATCTGGACTGGCCGGCCTCTTTGTTTGCTGCTGCTTGTGCTGCTGCTCGAAAAACGGAAAAAGGTCGCGCTTGAGTCGTGAGTCTGCTTATACACGCGGGCTTTATATATATATAGTTAAAGCTTTTGACTCGAGAGCGTGCGCCCGTTTTATCATCGTGCCTGCACTTTCGCTCGAGTCAATGTTTTTTTTAGCGAAAAAAAAGTAAAAAAAAAATAATGATAATAATAACTCGCGGACGTGATAATGAGATTTGAAAGTAGAAAAGAGCTATTTTGGCTTATTATTATTATTATTATTATGCCGCTGCTGCTGCTCGCTGCACATCGTGCCGATATAGCTCTCGCGTCGGAGTGAAATAAATATGAATATACTCAACTGTAAAAAGCAAAACAACGGCGATGCATAGAAGCGCGCAGCAGAGCGCTCAAACCAAACGAGCTCCAGAACTGGCTGCCGTAGACGAGTGTGTATCTAGTCACGGCTATCTCTTTATTCAAACGTGCACTAAATCCATACTCGTCTATGGAATAGCCTCTTTCTACCCTGTCTCTCTTTTCGCTCTCCTCGGCTACTTCTGGCGTGCAGGGGGAGCTCTCTTTCCCACGAAGCGTATGTGTTTACGTTTGTGTACGTCGGAGTGTATGTGTGTGTGCACACACTCGCAAGCAGTACTCCTCTTTGTCTTTGGGGCTTCTCTCTCTCTCTCTCTCTCTCTCTCGTTCGATTCTTCGCTGACTCCGAGGAAAGTTTTCACGTCGATCCAGGCCTAAAACCGTACTTAATGAGTGTGGATCTAGTCACAGAAATCGAGTAAAACTGTGCACCAGACCATCACTCACTCAGCACAATCGGCCGACTTCCGACGAAGCTCCTTCTTCGGGTCTTATCTTCTGCATCGTGAAAAGTTCCTCGAGTCGTCGGTTTCTGCTTCGTGCGTGCGACTCATTTAGTTTTCTTCATATATTTTGCCTTGGTAAGTTATATATTTTTATGCGACGATTATTCGCGCGTACGTTTGTTTACATAACACGAATTGGACGAAAAAAAAAATTAGTTGAGAATCGAGAAATTGTGACGCGCTTCGAAGAACGTAAGTGGCTTTTTTTACAGATGGTTTAGCAGCTGAGTACGAATTTTGTTATCAGTTACTTCGAGTACACACGATTATAACGTTCATAAGCAATATTTGAAAGTTGACATGTTGACTTTTGAAAAGTGACGAGATATTTGTTATAACTAAGATGTGGCATGGCATCGTGTGACTTTCTCACACGCGTACCTCGATAGATTATTCTCTCCGAGTACAACTAGTTAATTTGACCGATTATGCACACAGAAAACGCAGGCACGCGCGCGCATTGAAATTCCGCAGTGCGCGGCAGGCAGCATACGCGTTACGAGGAATTCAACTCCACGCAAGTTCGTCGCGGACTCGTAATTACACGGGCTTTCAGCGAAAAGAAAAGAAGAGAAAAATTTTTTTGAAAAAAGCCGCAAGTACGCACCGTGCGTGCCATGCAGCGAGAAGCTCGCCCCGCTCGCTTGCATACAGTCGTTGACCGAGCCCGATCGACTGCATAATGCGTAACAATAAGTTCATATAGCGGCGACGTAAGCACGTGATATCGGCTTCTATTCCGACATCGCATGCAAGCACACATACAAACGTATACGCACGAGCGAGAATTGGTCGGCTCGGCTCGCGCTATATACACTGATAAAAAGGAGAGAAAGAGAGTCGGTGTATGAGTAAAAGAAAGAGAGAGAGAGAGAGAGAGGAAAAAAGACGAATGCACGCATTGAGACAGACTTGCTCTCATGCGTCACGAGAGACAGATGCGAGTGTCTATATGTGTGTGACCAAGTCTGACTCTTCGCGGGTTGTTGTATAACACATTTCGTACATATAGCGAATTACAGCTGCTCCAGTTATTTGCTTTGCTCTATCCGGTGAGAGCAAAGTTGAGCCGGCGTGATTTGCGTTTTTGTTAACAGTCCCAAAAATTTTGATAATGATTGGATAAAAAGGTCGAAGCGGAGGTGCAATTAAGCGTGATTATTAGATGTTCACTAACGGTAAGAGTGAAAAAATTGTAAAGGATCAACAAAACTTCAAGTGTTTAGATAGAAATGTAAATAGTTGTATTATTATTGAAAACTAAAAATTATGAAGTCTTTGAATGAGGTAAAATAGTCAAACGAAGAAATGGCTTTCACGAAAGGAGAATTGAAACAGTTAACAACATTATCATATCCAGAATGCAACACTACGACACGAGCAATCTTTTCTTCGCGATATTTAGTTCTGTCTTTATCTCCCTCTTTTTCTCCCCCTTCTTTCTTTTTATCTTCCACTATGTCTCTCGTTTTTGCATTGTATCACGTTTCTCTTCCCTCTCTCGCATAAAAACACAATATTCTCTTTCTCTCCGTCTAACCCGCTCTTTCTTTAACGTGCACCCATGCCATGGAGTACGCAAACAACAAACACACACACGCACAAGCATACAGCCAGAAACACGAACTTTTTCTCCTGAATAATTCTCAAGCATGATTTTCTTTATGCACGTGTAAATGTGCGAGAGCAGATTTCAAGAGAAGGCGTAAGTACTCGACGGTGTAGTAGTGCACACGACTCTGTATGATTATAATAATGAAGCAAAAAAAAGAAACAGAAAAATAACCACTCGACGACTAATCTGAGACTCTGCTCTCGAGAGCATCGGCGTGCTCGCTCGAGCCACTCCTGCTCGCGCTCTGTGTATTAGCCGAGTTAATTCTTAATGCTTCTTGAGTGTCAGGCACTATACGACGACAACGAGTCGCTCTCCGATACCAATCATGCTTTCGATAAGCTCGACTTCGAGCCTCAATGTATTATATATATATGCGGAGCTCGATTACGCGCGAACGAAAACGCGGAGCGAGCTTGATCGAATGATTCGTCGATCCTCTAAATTATAATCGATCGCTGCGTTATGCAAACCGAAAGAAAGTTTCTTTGCTGGAACACTTGGGGCGTTCATGCGTACGCACATATCTATACTCGCCCAAAGAGAGCCCAAAGAGCGAGCCCGAAGAGAGCGAAGGGTCGCCCCGCTTCCATATACTGAATGATGAGCATTGTTGCGAGGCATACAATGCGCGAGCAACAGCTCCTCTTTTAAACAACTTTTCAATCTCCTGCTTCTTCGTCTTACTACTGGCCCCCTCCCTCTCCCCCTTATTTTGCTGCTCACTGAAAGCACGCACGCACACAAATACGCTCGCTCGAACACGCAGCTAAGGTTCATTATGTATTGCACCTTTCGGGCGATTCTGCCAAACACGTGCACGCAGATGTTCTTCATTCATCCCTCCATCGATTTCCGCTGTCTGTTTTTTTGCACACGAGCTAGCCGAAGCACGCGCGCCTCTCTGCGTATATGTACGTCTGTATCACGCTCGTTTCTTCTTCTACTACTACATTCTACTACTATACTACTAGCGTTGCTACTACGATTCTAAATATAGTATCCGTGTGCTAATACTAAAAACGCTCAACGTTCGACCGTGGGAAGTTCCGAGCTAAGCGCTTTTAACGTACGTATAGATGTTTTTTGAGGTATATACTTTCGACGCGTCTATTAAACGATGGAGCGAGTTCGCGTTATTACCACCACAAGCTCTCTTGAAAACGCTGCTTTTTCTTACAACGATTCGAGATTTGGCTCTAGCAATCGGCACATTTATATACGGCCGAGGCGCGCGCGCACGCTTCGCCTTTTTTTCTTTATCTTTTGCCGAGCTTGGCGTTTTTCTCCAAGAGCCATTTCTCGTTAAAGCTTTTTATCTTTCGAGCCGAGTATAAGAGAGAAAGAGTGTGTGTACGTGTATGTACGAGAGCGTGCTTACACGTGCTAAGTGGCATTGTCTTACAACAATCGTGCAAATTTTACCTCTCAACTTTAAATAGAAATTCCTACTCGCACTTGGGTGTGCGCGTGCGCGCGCGATCGCGCAGAGTTATAACGGACATTCACAGCGTATATACGTAGTACTACACTGCACTGCACACATGCGTTGTACACGTACGCGCGAATTCCTCGGTGGCTTCTATGGCTTTGTTATATCCTCCCTCGCCCGTGAAGCGTGCCCGCGAAATACTCGCTGTGCAGCGGTGTGTGCAAAAAGTAAAAAGAAAAAAGGCAGGGAAATAAATCAGTAGCACGAGAGCTGCTCGTTGTTTAGCCCGGAGCCGAAATTTACTCGTATATACGTACTACGCACAGAACGAAAATCTCGTTTTATCGTGAATTAGCAAAGTTGAATGTTCGACCGTCGCTCGGGTAATTATCGTCGTTTGCGAGTATAGAGAGAGAGACAGAGCAAACATCGGCCGCAGCGCGGCACACTGCTTTCGAGAGCTATACGCAGCTTGTAACGAACGCGCCGATGCTCGAGGCAAGTATTACAGAAAGAGACAAGTCATACGGCCGCCTCTATCTATATACACACACTCAGCTGCATGCGTACGTGCAGTAGCAGCAGCAGCAGCAGCATCGAGTGTAGCATGCGACAATGAAGAAGAGATCGGCGCACGAAGATGCCGAGAGCGAAAGAAGAGAAGCGGCGACATTGGAAGCATTGGCGGCTCTCGAGCACATATAGCCAAGAGATGTGTTCTCCTCCGTCAATTGTATTTAATTGCCGCGCAAAAGCTAGACGAGCCGCCGCACTCGCGATACATAACTCGGCAAAGACGACGACGACGACGACGATGATGAAAGCTTGCCAATCCATACGAACAGACGAGTAGCTTATACTGCTGCTATGCAAGTATGCAGGCTTTCGTTTATAATGTATACGCGAGCACATGTAATAAGCCCCGAGGGCAGTCGCAGTCGCAGAGAGCCACGCTACGCTACAGTCAATGCCCGTATGCGGGAAATGTCCCCCCGCGTACGCCGCGCCGAGTATAGGCAATAATTCGCGCGCTCGCGAACTCTATGTGTAACTCTGTGTATGTGGCGCGTCCAGCACAACCGACACGTGCCGGC